CAGAGCCTGTGAGGGCTTCAGGCAGCCCAGCGCCCGGGCCAGCATCTCCCATGGGCCATCCGCAGCACAGCTCAGCACCGGGGAACTGCGGGGAACCCGAGGGAAGTAGTGAAGTGGGGCCCTGGCCACCCCCACAAGCACTGCTCGCCACCCCAAGAACCTGACCGGGCCACGCTGAGCAGCAGCTCCACCAGAGAGGGTGCGGCTGGCACAGGGTCCCCCTCAAGCAGGTGGCCCACGGTGGGGCTCAGACGCCTCCAGAAGTCCTCTGTCCAGGGTTCATGGCAGTGCGTGATTGTGGACGTGAGCACGTGCAGGGCCTGCATGGCCTGAGCGGTGGTCGCAGAGCACAGAGACGCCTCCACATGGGCGACAATCTCCTGGGCACAGGTGGGGGCACAGGCCTTGCCCTGCGGGTCAGGGTGCCCCTTGTCCGCATCCCGCATGGACAGGGTCAGAATGTACGACAGGAGCTGACTGGCGGCCGAGGCCACGAACAGGCTGGGGTCCCGCTGCAGGGAGAAGACGGTGTCGAGGGCGCCTGTGGAGAGGCACGGGGTCGCTGGTGAGAAGGGGGGACATGGCACCAGCTTCCATCTGACCCCCCAAACTACACAGCGCTCAGCAGTGGGTGACTGTGCAGGTCAGTCTGTCCAGGCCGCAGCCCACGGCTCGACTCCTTCTAAAGTGTCAGACGCGCCAGGTGGCTGACTGTGAACCATGGGGCCCACCCGAGGCGGGGGGCTGTGAGCCATGGGCCCCACCCGAGGCGGGGGGCTGACTGTGAGCCATCGGGCCCACCCGAGGCGGGGGGCTGACTGTGAGCCACGGGGCACAGGGCCCCCCCAAGGCGGGGGAGCTGACCGTGAGCCATGGGCCCCACCCGAGGCGGGGGGCTGACTGTGAGCCACGGGCCCCACCCGAGGCGGGGAGCTGACCGTGAGCCAGGGGGCACAGGGCCTCCCCAAGGCGGGGGGCTGACCGTGAGCCACGGGCCCCACCCGAGGCGGGGGGCTGACTGTGAGCCATGGGCCCCACCCGAGGCGGGGAGCTGACCGTGAGCCACGGGGCACAGGGCCTCCCCCAAGGCGGGGGGCTGACCGTGAGCCACGGGACACAGGGCCCCCCCAAGGCGGAGGAGCTGACCGTGAGCCATGGGCCCCACCCGAGGCGGGGGGCTGACTGTGGCACAGGGCCCCCCCAAGGCGGGGGGCTGACCGTGAGCCACGGGGCACAGGGCCCCCCCAAGGCGGGGGGCTGACTGTGGCACAGGGCCCCACTCGAGCACCGTGCTCCCAGCCACACTCACCGCAGTCGGTCAGGAAGTTCAGGGCGCTGGGGTGGCACAGCAGGGAGCGCATGCCCTGCACCCAGCCACTACGCACGCCGGGCTCAATCCAGGCGACCTGGCCTAGGGGCCCCGCTTCGCCAAACAGCTTCAGTAGCAACTTCCTTTGCTGAGAGGCAGAGAAGGGAGTTCAGGGGGGCTTCCGAGGGAGCAAAGGTGGGGTTCCACCCTTGGGGCTGGCAGTGTGGGGGGACTGAACTCGCAGGGGAGCCAGGGCCAGCTCTGGGAAAACCCAGGTTTCAAACACTTGCGGGGTCCACCTCCTGAGCCAGAGCCTCCCAGAGGGACTCTGGGCCCGGGGCTTCTGAATACAGATGACCTTACGGACGCTGCCCTGTTCTACACAGGCAAGCTGATTGATCTGCACTCAGCCAACACAAAGGCCCTAGAAAGTTCCGGAAGGCCTGCCCCCAGCCAGAGGGGCTCTTAGTCTGTCTCTTGGAGTCTGCTGCTGCCAAGCACGGAGCCACGAGGGGCTTGAGGGACCCGGGACAGGGCACTACACCTGGTACAAAGATGTGAGGCAGGACCACTGGAGCAGCAAGAACCAGGCTGGCTAAGTGCCCCGTCACCTGACCAGCCCGGCTGCAGCACGGGAAGGGTGCGCGGGGGGGCCGGCGGTCCAGGGCAGAGGGACCCACCTGCAGGAACTGGAAGCAGTCTTCCTGGGCTGCCAGCATCCCAGCGAGGCGAAGGGTGAAGGCCAGAACCCTGGCGCTCACGTCCCGAGCTTCCAGCGCGTGGGACAGCAGCTCCAGCAGGCAGGTGTGCTCCCTCAGCAGCTGCAGGCTGGACTCTGCAGGACAGGGCCGCCCCAGCCCCTCAGCCTGTGGCCTTGGCAGGGGCCACATCCTGACCACGCGGGACACCGGCCCTGACCACCCCGCCGAGGCTGCTGTGGGCCTGGAAGCCCGCTCTCCCTCTCAGGCTCTGCGCCCGTTTAAATTTGCTTTCTCAATTTCATTTGCACGTTAAATACATCACACGACATTTTCAAGGAGAATACAAACAGAACACGTATCTTCAAAACCAGAAAAAAGTACACTTTTGTAGGACAGATTTGGATAGTCAGTTACAGAGGAGAAAGCAGAGCTTCCCTCCCCACGGCCGGCCGGGCTGCAGCCAGGGGCTTCGCCTGCGTCCCGCGTGGCCGGCCGGGCTGCAGCCAGGGGCTTCGCCTGCATCCCGGTGGGCGGCAGGGGCTGCACACTTGGCCCATCCCACACCACGACAGAGCCCAGAGACCGACCCCGTGGGGTGCTGGCGCTGCAGGTGGTGGCTGCTTTACCCACTATGTCACAACGCTGGCCCCAAAGTTTTTAAGAATCTCTTATCAACTCAACGAAGGGCAGAACAAGCAGACAGACGTCACCAAGACAGACAGCGGAAATGAAAACAGAAAATAAATGTAGGAAGGCCATTCTTCTCTCAGTTGCCTCAAGAAAGCAGAAGCAACCTGCTGCGGACAGTGCCCTCAGGCCAGGAGGTCGAGCCCCGGGCCGTCCAGGGGCCTGCAGCAGCCAGGGCTGGGCCCCGCCAGAGTGGGGGGCCAGCTCAGTCACTCGGCCTGTCAAGCACATGAGCCACTTCTGGGGGTGCCCGGGCCCTGTGCACGCGGGGCAGAACGAAGGCCGAGCCTCACCAGTCTCCGTGAGCGCCTTAAACCAGTCCAGCAGCTTCTCCAGGCACGTGTCGTCCTCGGCCAGTGGCTGCCGGCCGTCTGCCAGGACGCGGCAGAGCATGGGGAGGAGCTTGGAGCACTCGGGGTCCATGGCGAGGCTGGGTTGGGGGGCCGGAGGTCCCTGCCAAGGAAAGGCCCCGCGTATGTGAGCGCCCCGCCGCACCCGGACTCCCTGGTGCACCCTGCCAAGGAAAGCCACCACCCCAACCTGAGCGCCGGCCCTCCCGAGCGCCTCGCAGCACCCCGGGAGCGTCCCCGGCACCGAGTCCCCAGTGCGCCCTGCCCACCCAAGTACTCCTTGGCACCGAGTCCCGGTGTGCCCTGCCCACCCGAGCGTCTCCGGCACCGAGTCCCCAGTGCGCCCTGCCCACCCGAGCGCCCCGCTGCACAGAGACCCCAGTGCGCCCTGCCCACCCGAGCGTCCCTCGGTACCGAGTCCCCAGTGCGCCCTGACCACCCGAGCGCCCCGCAGCACCGAGTCCCCAGTGCGCCCTGCCCACCCGAGCGTCCCTCGGCACCGAGTCCCCAGTGCGCCCTGCCCACCCGAGCGCCCCGCAGCACCGAGTCCCCAGTGCGCCCTGCCCACCCGAGCATCCCTCGGCACCGAGTCCCCAGTGCGCCCTGCCCACCCGAGCGCCCCGCAGCAGAGTTCCCAGTGCGCCCTGCCCACCCGAGCGCCCCTCGGCACCGAGTCCCCAGTGCGCCCTGCCCAGCCCGAGCGCCCCGCAGCAGAGTCCCCAGTGCGCCCTGCCCACCCGAGCGTCCCGCAGCAGAGTTCCCAGTGCGCCCTGCCCACCCGAGCGTCCCTCGGCACCGAGTCCCCAGTGCGCCCTGCCCACCCGAGCGCCCCGCTGCAGAGTCCCCAGTGCGCCCTGCCCACCCGAGCGTCCCTCGGCACCGAGTCCCCAGTGCGCCCTGACCACCCGAGCGTCCCTCGGCACCGAGTCCCCAGTGCGCCCTGCCCACCCGAGCGTCCCTCGGCACCGAGTCCCCAGTGCGCCCTGCCCACCCGAGCGCCCCGCAGCAGAGTTCCCAGTGCGCCCTGCCCACCCGAGCGCCCCTCGGCACCGAGTCCCCAGTGCGCCCTGCCCAGCCCGAGCGCCCCGCAGCAGAGTCCCCAGTGCGCCCTGCCCACCCGAGCGCCCCGCAGCAGAGTTCCCAGTGCGCCCTGCCCACCCGAGCGCCCCTCGGCACCGAGTCCCCAGTGCGCCCTGCCCACCCGAGCGCCCCGCTGCAGAGTCCCCAGTGCGCCCTGCCCACCCGAGCGTCCCTCGGCACCGAGTCCCCAGTGCGCCCTGCCCAGCCCGAGCGCCCCGCAGCACCGAGTCCCCAGTGCGCCCTGCCCACCCGAGCGCCCCGCAGCAGAGTCCCCAGTGCGCCCTGCCCACCCGAGCGTCCCTCGGCACCGAGTCCCCAGTGTGCCCTGCCCACCCGAGCGCCCCGCTGCACCGAGTCCCCAGTGCGCCCTGACCACCCGAGCGCCCCGCAGCAGAGTTCCCAGTGCGCCCTGCCGAGCCCGAGCACTCCAGCCGGGAGGCGCGTGAGGCGCAACCTCGTGTCCTGGAGCCGGGAAGGGCTGTGCGGGCGTCGGTGACGTGCGCGGGGGACGCTGCCCGCCCGAGCCCCACACCCAGGGTGCGCGCGGAGTGGACAACGCCGCCACAACCCGGGAGGCGCACGGTGAAGGCGGGGAAGCCCTCCCGGGAGCGCACGTGGCGCTGCGCGACCTGGCGTCTGCCGCGTCCGCTCGGTCCCCGTTCCGGTCAGCCGGTCCCCGCGGCCCGCTGGACTCGCCCGCCAGAACGCGACGGTCCCCGTGGAGCAGAGCGCGCGCCTCAGCAGCCCCGCTTCCGCCGCCGCCTGCACGCGCTTCCGCCGCTCGCTCCGCCCCTCCGCCGAAGGCCACGCCCTGGGAAGCGCCATATGTCCGGCCCGAGGGGACACAGGTCGGAGACGGCGGGCGTGGGGATCTGCGGTGCCCCGGAGGCCTATCGAGACGTCCGGAAGACCGAAGCCAGTTCACTGAGCTCAAGTCTGGAAAGGAGGGTCGGAGACGGGGCCGAGTCCAATGGTTCTCTCCGGACTGTCACCCCCGCCAGGGTGCGCAGTGGTACGTGCCGGAGCGTGGGCCTCCCGGGAAGGGGCGGGGCTCACGCCGGCGGGGCGGGGCTCGCGCCGGAGGGGCGGGGCTCACGCTGGCGGGAAGGCCCTGCGGGGTGGGTCCGTGGATGGGCGTGGCCCCGTGAGGGGGCGGAACCGTACGCTGGAGGGAAGTGTTTTGAGGGAGTGGCCAGCGAGGGGCGGGGCTCGCTCACGCTGGCGGGAGGGCTCTGCGGGGCGGATCCATGGGTGGGCGGGCCCCGTAAGGGGGCGGGGCGCGCATCGGAGGGGCGGGGCTTTGCCTCTGAGCCCCTCCTTGGAGCTCTCAGCTGTGAGCCGGAAACAGGGTGGCTGTGAGGGCCGCAGTCCGCGGGGACGCGGGTTCGAGTCCCAGCTGCTCCAGCTGCCTGCTGTCGGGTCCCGAGAGGCCGTGCAGGATGTCCCAAGTGCCTGGGCAGCTGCCGGCTCCTGGCCTGGGCCCGGACCTGGCTGCTGTGGCCATTGGGGGCGGGAACGAGCTCAGGGAAGCCCTCTGCATGTAACTGCTTTCCAGATAAATCCATAAAACAGCATCGACACCGTTATAAGCAAAAGTGCTTTGTTTTTGTTTTGTTTTTCTTTTCTCACAGTACTGCAAGCAGAGGAGAACACTGCCGCTGCTGGGGTGAGCTGCTTTGGCCGGCCCTGCTCGCCTGGGACGCAGCCCTGTTTGGGTGAAAACGCTGGAACCGTGTGCTGTTTGCTTTCCCTTGGCCGGTTAGTGGTCCGGCTCCAGCTGTTGCCGTTTGCTCGGTGAGTGGACCAGCAGGCAGAAGGTGGATCTTTTGTTTTTAAAGGTTTATTTATTTTTATTAGCAAGTCAGATATACAGAGAGAAGGAGAGACAGAGAGGCAGATCTTCGTCAGATGGTTCACTCCCCAAGTGACCGCAATGGGCAGAGCTGAGCCGATCCGAAGCCAGGAGCCAGGAGTTCTTCCGGGTCTCCCACGCGGGTCCGGGCCCAAGGCCCTAGGCCGTCCTCCGCTGCGGTCCCAGGCCACAGGCAGGGAGCCGTGCCCTTCCGGGCTCCTGGCAGTTTCACCGTTACAGTACTAGACCAGCAGATGGAAGAACTCTGTAACTCTGCTTGGCAAATACTTCTTTTGTGTTTTGTTTAAGAAGGTATAAGATTAGGGTAGTTGTTCCGGCCAGCAGAGCCAGTATCGTGGACACGGCGAGGATCGGGGGTGAGGCACCGAGCCGCAGTATCGTGGACACGGCGAGGGTCGGGGGTGAGGCACCGAGCCGTGATGGTGGACACGGCCAGGGTCGGGGGCGAGGCACCGAGCCGCAGTATCGTGGACACGGCGAGGGTCGGGGGTGAGGCACCGAGCCGTGATGGTGGAAGTCTCTCTTTCACCTCTACTTGTTTAGTCTTCCCCACAGCCTCATTAGCGCGTGCGGGATACAGCTGAGCCAGGCGGTGCTTCTAGCCCCAAGCCCGCTCCCTGAGTGCTCGGCTTAACAGGGCTAGTCAACTCCCTAGCCCACAACAGGTGGCGAATATAGTTATAAGTAGCGATAAGGGCTAGTTAGGGATCTTAATGAGTTAGCGTGAAGTAGATGAGGAGACGGCAGTGAGTCATAAAAAGGTGTTTGAATCCCAGGTCACCTTAGGATGACCTGCTAAGCTGCTTCTGTACGCACTGGCTCCGCTCTAAGCGGCAGAGACAAGACTAATGCCATCACAGGCACTGCCAGAGAGCAGACCTGAGTCTCATTCCCCAGAGGTGCCAGCATGGGCTCCCAGAGACCGCCGGGAGAACGGAACCAGCGGAACAGAGACAAGCCGTGAGCCCCGGGTGGGGGCAACAGGGCAGCCGGCGTCGGCTCGCACAGCCCTTGTTTGATCTGTACTGAGGAGAGACCATGTACAGTGTTTACGGGACTTGGACGATGTAAAAGCTGCGTGGGGGAACCAGTGGGGTCCGGTCGAGACCCACTGCGCTGGATGAGACCGGCCCCTAGCTCGACACGGCAGGAACGCTCCTTTGCTTCGGCATTGTTGTGTGTGCAACTTGTCTGTCGGCAGTCCTGGGATGCTTTACAAAACAAACGAACCGTAAGCTGGGTCCGTGCGTGCGTGTGGATGGCGTGAAGCAGTGAAGGGAACAGCTCCCCTGTTGGCAGGGCCGCAAGGAGCCCACAGGGCCTGGCAGATCTCTCTCCGACCGCTGGACACACACAGCAGCACAAGCAAGCCCAGGCCGTTTCGGGACACCTGACTGGGAGCCTACCCGTCACCCCGGATTCTGGCCCAGACACGTGGCATGCCTTCTGGGAAGGGGCTTGCAAACATCCTAAGCATTATTGAGTGACGGGAGTGTGAGCTGAGACTGCTACATACAGTTACTCTCATCTCAGAGGCTAAGCTGTCTTTGCAATTTCTTTGCAATGTAGGAAATGTAACTGTGTTAGCCGCTTTTATAAGTTCTAGCCGGAGGAATTAAGGATGCTTTTACTAAAGAAATATGCTTTTAGTTATTGGTTCTTTATGAGCTTTTAGAGCCTTTAGTTAAAAAAAAAAATAGAGCCTGTAGTTGTAGCGGGATTTAACATGTGAAACTTTTGTCTTAGATTTTTGCATATTTTCCCCTTGTGACCTATTTTTCCCTTTAAATAATGGGTAAATTGCAGAAATAGAAATGTGATAGGAATGTATTACCGCGTAGCAGGTAACCGCCTGTGCCTTGGCCTTGCAGTCCTGGCTGCCGCCCAATGGCTGCTGCGGAAGAAGGAATAATGGCTTGCTTGAAGAATATGAATACAGTATTTTTGCAGGATTGTCTTTAGGGTCACGTGCTTAGCCCTGAAGTGCAGACGGAGTGACCAGATGTCTGTGCATGCCCCCTTAGTCTTGGAGTAAAAATAGCACAATTAGCTGTTTGTGTAGAAGCTTGTGGTGTGTCTGAGTCAATAAAAGGACAGCTCCTTGAGCTGTTGCGAGAGGACACCAAGTGACAGTGTCCGTGTCTTTCTTTATTGCCGACTCCACGCACCCCTCCCGAGCTCTGAACTCTGCTGGAGCTGGACTCTGGCGCCCTAACTTGGGCTGCAGCCGCCTCCTGGCACCCCCAAATATGGGCTCAGCAAGAGCAGGACTTCCACCGAGCACACCCAATCTACCATCTCCTGGTAACCAGGGCCGCTGTGCCTGACACCCAGGGCTGTCTGGGTGGCCTGGACTGGTGGCCTGGGCATGTGGCCTGAGTAGGAGGTCTGAGCATGTGGTCTGAGCAGGTGGCCTGAGCAGGTGGTCTGAGCAGGTGGCCTGAGTGGGTGGTCTGAGCAGGTGGCCTAGGACTGGTGGTCTGGGCAGGTGGTCTGAGCAGGTGGTCTGGGTAGGTGCCTGAGCAGGTAGCTTGGGTAGGCCCCTAGGCGGTTGCCCTGGGCAGGCCCTTCCTTAGTCCACTGGACACAGAGGATTGGATGTCTGAGATTGAAATCAGGTTTTTTTTATTAACAGGCAGAATGTGCACAGACTTTAAAACTCCCATGGGAACTCCTAACTGCATTTGTCATGATCCCTTGAAGGCTTCTAGAACTTTTCCAGAACTTTTCAACAAGTCCTGAAGCGCCTCTCGCTGGTGCGGTGGCTGCTGAGACCCTGGCCGGCCACGCACTCCGCGCGCGCACGCTCGGCCCGCGCCGGCTCGGGGAGGCCGTGCTTCCGCCGCATCCGGGTCCGGCGGCGGCGGCGCGGTTGCCATGGCAGCAGGCGGCCGGGGCGGCCCGGGGCCTCGCGCACCCGGGAGCGCGGCGCCGTCGCCATGTCTCTGGGCTCGGCGGAACCGGCCTCGGACACGGTGAGGGCCGGCCCGGGAGGGGAGGCGGCCCCCGGGGCGGCAGGGTGACCGCCGCCGGGATTGTTAGCGCATAGGAGGGCGTCTCGGGCCCCGTGGCGCGCGGCGGGTCCCGGCCTGGCCCGCGTCCTCCGCGGCCTCGGGACGCCCGCGCTCCTGTGTAAGTGCCTCGGGGCGCCCGGCATGGATCGAGAAGTGAGGGAGGACGTCCCAGGCTCTGGGAGCCCGGCGCTGCCCAGCCTGCTGGGAGGCTTCCCGGAGGAGGTGATGCCCGCGCGAGGGGGGCGCGGGGTGGCCGGGGCGGCCCGGCCTCGGGAGGGAGCGAGCCAGGCACGGTGGGCGTCCGCCGTCTGCCGCGCCCTGCTCCGGGTTTCCGGAACGGCCACCCCTCAGGTGGACCCTGAAGCCCCAGAAGTTAGGGCCCGGTGCCCGGTCTCAGGGAGGCTCGCCCTGTGGGAGATGGGCAGCCCCTAACCCGGGCTGAACCTGGGCCAGAGGAGGGACTCGCAGAGGGCAGGGACTGACCGGGCCCCCAGAGCCCCCTGGGCATGCTGGCACGTCGTGTGGGTGTGTAAGGAGCTTGCCGCCGTGGCTCGCTGTCCACTGTGAGCTGCAGAGGGCAGGGGCTGACCGGGCCCCCAGAGCCCCCTGGGCGTGCTGGCGTTCTGGCACGTCGTGTGGGTGTGTAAGGAGCTCACCGCTGTGGCTCGCTGTTCATGGAAAATGGGAATAGCTTGCATGGAACTCAGTTTTGTTTGCACGGAAGCCACCTTCTCTTTCCTGCTTGACCCCTAAGTGCTCTGCACTCCTCGCAGGAGTGCCTTCTGCCTGGTGGGTGGCACGGGTGTGCACTGTGGTCCTGCCACCCTGAGCCGTGCTTCTGCCTTCCCTCTGTGGCTGGCACGGGCTGGTGTCCCAGGGCTAGGCCAGGCTCCGTGCTGGCCATTCTGCCCCTGGAATCACAGATCCTGAGGAACCTGGCGTGGTCGCCCTGGCAGCCAGCGCGCGCATGCTGAGCAGTGCCCTCTCCGAGGTGCCCTGTGCTGGCACAGCACCATTGCTCCGTCTCCAGACTGCCGAACGTTTTGTCAAGCTTATGCTTTAGAAGCAGATATTCACTGACTTATTTGGAAGGCAAAGTTTCAGAGAAGTCTACCGTCTGCTGGTTCACTGGCTTGGTCAGGGGGAGCCAGGCCCCCCGAGCGCCCTCCAGGGGCCAGGGTGCTTGGGCTGTGGCTGCCGCTCTCCCAGGTGATTAGCGGGAAGCCGGATCAGAAGAGCAGCAGCCAGCAGGGACGTGAGCCAGCGTGGATGCGCGGCAGGTGCCCCATCGAGCTTTGCAGAACTGTTGGGAGTGTAGTGCCCACCTGGTGGGTCCTGCAGCGCCCTGCTGTGGCTCATGCTGACTCAGATGGTACAGCTCTGATGTCCCTCCCCGGGCCAGGGCAGTCCCTGGAGTGAGCAGGCTGTGGCCTTCCTGCGCATGTGTCACTGTCTGCCTGGGGCTTCCTCCTGTGGAGCCCCGGGCCCGTGGCCTTTACTGCAAAGGTGAGCCAGAACAGACACCCTGCAGCGTGCCCAGGCATGCGACAGCCCTGCCTGGCGGGTCCGTGTGTCGTGTCTCATGGTCCCTGCCGCCCAGCCTGCTCGTGGTGGACGTGACGACACGGGCTTTTTTTCTTGCAGGGGGAGGACACGCAGTCGGCAGTGACCTTGGCGTCTGACTTGGAGCCGGTGAGTACAGCGAGGCAGCCGCCCTGGCTGCGTGCGATCTGTGAGCACAGCCTGAGCCCAGAGCCGAGACACGGAGGCTCAGCATCGCACGGCTGAGTCGTCAGGGAATCAACATTGCAACTTTTGCCCCCAAGTCAATCCCGAGCAGTGGTCTTTGAAAAGTTCCTGTGCTGCATGCGGGTCAGAGCCTGAACCCCAATTAGCATGCCCCCTTCCGATCCTGGCTGGGGCAGGGCTGGGGACAGAGATGGCCTTGGCAGTCACACCGTGCGGCTCAGCTGCGGCCCAGCCTGGCATCGAGGTCCTCCGGTGTTGGGGTGGTCAGAGGCAGTGAGGCCCTGTGGCCCCACTACTGCAGCCACAGCCCCTTGTCTGGCTTGTGCAGCGAGCTGTGCTGCCTGGAAGCCGAATCTTGGCTGCTTGTGACAGACGCTGCCACAACTCCGGCTGACCTACCGGGACAAGGCCGCTGCCCTGCCCCTCTGCTCTGACCACGCGCCCCACGGGGACCTTCCACCCCTGGCTCCAGACTGACAGTGGCCACAGCGTGGAGGGGCTGGGCCTTGGGTCCAGCGTCCTCCAGCTGCATGTTCTGAACCCTGGGCCCGGCGTGTTCTCTGCTGACACGTGATGTCCTGACAGTGCCTTGGAGCCCCGCTGGCCTGTCCCCCGGGAGTCCCTGTGAGCATGACACTGTCCATGGGACTGCACGGGCTTCACCGCATTTCTCCTTTTTTTCAGAAAACGAGGAGAAGTGTCCACAGACCCCCACCTACATCACCCAGTAAGTACAGCCAGCCTGCAGCCTCCCCTCGCCTCCGCAGCTTAACCGGGGCTGTGCCCTGGATGCCACTCTCTCCCGGGCCCGGGGGACGCTCAAGGACTCTTGACTCTTGGTCCTCTGAGCAGCTCTGGCTGCTGGGGCAGGACCCTGCCGTCGTGGACCCAGTGCTGGGGCCTCAGCCGTACCAGCCGGTGGAGTCCCACTTGTCCCAAGGCAAAGAGCCTGCCTCCTCTGGCCCTTCTCTCTTCTCACATGCCGATGTCAGCTGAACACTGTGCGAAGAAAGGGCGCAGTCAGCCTCAGAGCCTTCTGTGCTGCAGCCAGCTCACCCCGGCCCTGCCCTGGCAGGTGCAGGCACCGCGGTGCAGCGAATCCTCTGCCCCCTGCTTCTCTGCCACTGGATCCTTCCCCTCCTTTGCTCAGCCCACGGATGGGAGGCCGTGCTGGGATAGACTTGGTCCAGGGGGCCCGAGGCCTCAGTTTGCCTCCATCCAGTGCCCTGGATGCGTGTGTGTGTGTGTGTGTGTGTGTGTGTGTGTGTGTGTGTGTGTGTGTGTGTGTGTGTGTGTGTGTGTGTGTGACATTATGCCAGTGTGTGTGTGTGTGTGTGACATTCCCTGGGCCCAGGCTGTGACCAGCCCTCTGGCCACATGCGGGCCCAGGCTGTGACCAGCCCTCCCTGGCCACACTGCCTGTATTTTTCATGTACATTTCTTACGGAGTCCCGCCTGTATGTGTGATTGGGGGAAGGCCGTGCGCTTTCAGAGGGGCCCAGGCTGTGTCATCAGAAAGGCAGAGTGCAAGGGGAAGAATGTACGTGCAAACCCAGAGATCCAGCAGGGGCCACACTGTGGCATCGCAGCTCATACCTCCACCTGGATGCAGTGCTAACGTGAGGTGACGCAAGTCCTTGGGTTCTGTCCCCTCCCCCCCCCCGGGAGACCCAGAAAACTCCAGGCTGCAGACTGCTCAGCTTCAGCCGCTGTGCACACCTGGGGGGGCCAGCAGTGAAGATCTCTCCGTGAATCCGTCTTTCTAACGAAGATAACTCTTTAAGATCATAGTCTGGTAGCTGGATTTTCCTCGCTCTCCTGTCCTTCCGTGGGGAACTTGAGTGCTGATGTAAAAATGCAGCCATGGTGTTGGACACCTTTGAAAACAATTTTTCTTGAAATGTTTATTTTTATTAGTCAAATATACAGAGAGGAAGATCTTCCATCTGATGATTTGCTCCCCAAGCGGCCGCAGCTGAGCCAATCCAAAGCCAGGAGCCTCCGCTAGGTCTCCCACATGGGTGCAGGGTCCCAAGGCTTTGGGCCGTTCTCCTCTGCTTTCCCAGGCCATAGGCAGGGAGCTGGATGGGAAGCAGGGCTGCCGGGATTAGATCCAGCACCATATGTTTTCCCAGCGCATTCAAGGCGAGGACTTGAACCACTAGGCTACCACGCCAGGCCCTGTGATAAAAAAAAAAAAATTTTTTTTCATTGACTTCAGAGAGAGAGAAACAATCTCTTGCACCTGCTGGTTCCCTCCCCAGACGGCCGCTGGGGCTCGGTCAGGAAGCCCTGGCTTCAGATCGGCTCAGCTGCAGCCACTGGGGAGGTGACCAGTGGGTGAAAGATCTCTGTGAAGTTGCCTTTCCAATAAAAAGAAAGAAGGCTTAAAAAAAAAGGTCCCAGATTTTTCTTGTTTTTCCCCAGATATTTTATATATTCAGTTCTGACTATCTCCATGTGAGTTTTTACTGTTTGTCTTGCATGTGCTGGTATATTTCCCAAAGGCCCACAGCCGGCAGAGCTGGGCCAGGCCAGAGCCAGGAGCTAGCGTGCCATCTGTGCCTGCTCTGATTGGCTACCGCCTGCAGCTCGCAGCAAACTGGGACTTGGCCCAGACCACCTGGGATGGGATGCGGGCCCCTGCAGCTCATGGAAGCCCGCCCATGCACCAAACCGTGCCCAGGGCTGGTGTGACTGCTGGGTCCCTCTGACCATGGAAGGCTGCCACTGCACCAAGCCATGCCCCTCTCCTGTCCAGCAGGACAGTCAACGGGTCACAACCAACCTAGGAGGGAATGAGGGGCAAGAGACAAAGAGTGGACAGCAAGTCAGTGTGTCTGATCAAGCTGTCAGTCTATTGATTTCAACCGAGACTTTTTATATTCTTTAGTAACTAAGGCTCAGGGAGGGAAGGAGAAACGGACGCAAGCCATGGTCTCCAGACCGATTGTTCTTGAACAGCCACCACATCAACCATAGTAACCAGCATACCAACAATAGTGCAGGTGACCAGTAACGGATGTCGGCAGGTGCAGCATAAATCACATTCTGAAAAGTTGCTAGAAATAATTGAAGCTAGGCTTGTGATTAGCTTCATAAACTCTTTCCCAAGCATCTAACCAACTGGGGTTTTCCACTGGCTCATAGTTCTATATTCAAAATGGCCTCAGTGTGGCTGTAGTACACGCTCCCGACGTGGCCTCAGTGTGACTGTAGCACACGCTCCCGACGTGGCCTCAGTGTGGCTGTAGCACACGCTCCCGACGTGGCCTCAGTGTGGCTGTAGCACACGCTCCCGACGTGGCCTCAGTGTGGCTGTAGCACACGCTCCCGACGTGGCCTCAGTGTGGCTGTAGCACACGCTCCCGACGTGGCCTCAGTGTGGCTGTAGCACACGCTCCCGACGTGGCCTCAGTGTGGCTGTAGCACACGCTCCCGACGTGGCCTCAGTGTGGCTGTAGCACACGCTCCCGACGTGGCCTCAGTGTGGCTGTAGTACTCGCTCCCGACGTGGCCTCAGTGTGGCTGTAGTACACGCTCCCGACGTGGCCTCAGTGTGGCTGTAGTACACGCTCCCGACGTGGCCTCAGTGTGGCTGTAGTACACGCTCCTGACGTGGCCTCAGTGTGGCTGTAGTACACGCTCCTGACGTGGCCTCAGTGTGGCTGTAGTACACACTCCCGACGTGGCCTCAGTGTGGCTGTAGCACACGCTCCCGACGTGGCCTCAGTGTGGCTGTAGTACTTGCCTCTGACATGCCCCGTGCTGGATGTGACTGCTGGGTCCCTCTGAGCAATTGAACACTGAACACACAGGGTGCAAAAATCGGTGGGAAACAGTAAAGATAAGGTTTTTGTTAAGCTAAAAAGAAAACCTGAAATCCGTGATCCTAAGGGTCTTTAAAAAGTTTGTGAATAGGGCCTGGTGCGATAGCGGTAGTAGTTAAAGTCCTCGCCTTGCAGCGCCAGGATCCCATGTGGGCGCCAGTTCTAATCCCAGCAGACCTGCTTCCCGTCCAGCTCCCTAGGAAAGCAGAGGAGGACGGCCTAGAGCCTTGGGACCCTGCACCTGCGTGGGAGACCTGGAGAGACCCCTGACTTTGGATCGGCTTGGCTCTGCTGTTGTAGCCACTTGGGGAGTGAATCATCAAACAAAGATCTTTCTGTCTCTCTGTATATCTGACTTTCCGATAAAAATAAATAAATAAAATATTAGGAAAGGAAAAGTAGATGTCTGATGGGAAGAAGCGCGTGGGCCGCCCGCGTGTGGTTTCCCTTTAATCTGCTCCAGTGTTGTTTTCCTAGAGTCGCTCTTAAACAGCCCGGAGACAGCAGTGCTCGTCCCTGCTGGGACTTTACCCGAAGTAGACAGGCCCTCACCTGCCCGGGGGTGTGCAATGCCATGTCCTAACGCCTGCCCGGGGGTGTGCAATGCCATGTCCTAACGCCTGCCCGGGGGTGTGCAATGCCATGTCCTAACGCCTGCCCGGGGGTGTGCAATGCCATGTCCTAACGCCTGCCCGGGGGTGTGCAATGCCATGTCCTCACGCCTGCTCGGGGGTGTGCCGTGACCACGCCCTCGCCTGCTCGGGGGTGTGCAGTGACCACGCCCTCGCCTGCCCGGTGGTGTGCAGTGACCACGCCCTCGCCTGCTCGGTGGTGTGCAGTGACGCACTCAAGCTGCTTGGTGGGTGTGCAGAGCCTCACCCCGTCATGGCTTTGCAGAGTCGCCCTATTCCTCCACGCCGAGGAGAGTGACGTCCTGGAAGGCTCTCAAGATGGCTGGCAGTGCCCCTCTGAGCAGCAGGATGCCCTTGTCCCCGCAGAAACTCTGGCTAGGGACAGCCAAGCAAGGTTAGTGCCTGCCCGGACCTGCTTCAGAGCAGACGGAGTACCTGGGAGTGGGGTCACGTGTCGGGAGTGGGGTGGGCAGGGTGCGGGGTGGACGGGGTACTGCGGTCGTGTGTCAGGAGTGGGGTCATGTGTCGGGAGTGGGGTGCACGGGGTGCGTGCAGCCTCTGGAGGCACGAGGGTCTGCATCAGTGTGGTCTGTCCAGCTGTGAGAGCAGCTTGAGTGGCCGCGTGGCCCTCTGGTCCTGCGCCCCAGTCTGCAGGCAGTGGTGTGCTGCAGCTGGCTCCCGGGCTGTTAAGAGGTCCAGGCACTGGTCAGCAGCATGCTGGCATCCTGACCGCGGCCGTGGCGAGTGTTTGCGCTCGGTGCTTGGTGGCAGACTCCTGTGATGGGTCACAGGACCCCCGTCGCGTCTTGCTCTAGGCCACGCCCCGGGGACCCCCGTGTACCGCGACAAGGAGGACATGTATGACGAGATCCTTGAGCTGAAGAAGGTAGTTCTTTGCTCGTCGTTGCTGGGTCGGGCTGTGCGTGTGTGGGCGCCTGCCTTAGGGGCGGGGCCCTGGTGGGGATCGCACCTGCTCTGCCCACCAGGCAGAGGGCGACCAGGCCAAGGCGGGTGAGCCGCAGCCCTCTGCTCCAAGGCCCGCGGCGCTGAGCTCAGTGACCCTGCACCTGTGGGGGCGTTGGTGCTGCCGACCTGTCCCAGCAAAGCAGACGAGGAAGGAGCCAGGTAGGAATAGCCAGGCCCCGCCACGTGAGGCTAGTGTCTGACCACGTGTGCCAGCAGCAGGGGCAGGGGAAGGTCACCTGTGTCCGGGACCAGCGCCGGCATCACATTGAGTACCCGTCAGCATTTCCTGCCCCTGAAGAAAATGGGCCATTCATTCTGGGGTTCATGGTTCCGGGTCCCGGCAGCCCACACGCTGGGCGTCCTGAGAAGTCAAGGCCGTCTACCCAGGGCCACGGAGTCAGCCCTTCCTCTTGGTGTGGAGAGAAGACTGGAGTTCAGGTCATCTGGACAGAAAGCAGCCATGGAGCCGTGTAGCAGAGTGCTGCCATCCTGGCCCTCGGAAGGACCAGCAGGAACCCTGCCCAGCAGTGGCTTTCTGGGTGAAGAACGGACACGGCCTGGACTCGGGCTGCTCAGCGTGGGACTGGACACACTCCACACAGCGTGCGGAATCCTGAAACAAGCTCACTCTCAGCCCTCCAGGGGTCCTGACACCAGGGCAGCGTGTCTATGCAAGCCATGCCTCAGCCTCCTGTGAAAAGATGGGGTGCAGACAGGGCCGTGGCAGGACGCTGGCATCCTGTATGAGCAGTGGTTGGAGTCCCGGCTGCTCCCCTTCCAGTGCAGTCAAGCTGGCAAGGCGGCAGAGGATGGCCCAAGTGCGCCAAGGGAAGCCCAGGTGGAGCTCCTGGCATGTCTGGCCACGCCAAGCACTGTGGCCCTTGGGGAGCAAATGAGCAGAAGGAGCGTCTCTTCCTCTGCCTTTCAGTATTACCAGTAGCAGTCCTGAGGTCTGCAGTGCAGGGCCGAGCCGGGAGGGCGGCCCCTGGGCCCTTCCTCCAGGCGCTGCAGTGCAGGGCCGAGCCGGGAGGGCGGCCCCTGGGCCCTTCCTCCAGGCGCTGCAGTGCAGGGCCGAGCCGGGAGGGCGGCCCCTGGGCCCTTCCTCCAGGCGCTGCAGTGCAGGGCCGAGCCGGGAGGGCGGCCCCTGGGCCCTTCCTCCAGGCGCTGCAGTGCAGGGCCGAGCCGGGAGGGCGGCCCCTGGGCCCTTCCTCCAGGCGCTGCAGTGCAGGGCCGAGCCGGGAGGGCGGCCCCTGGGCCCTTCTCCAGGTGCTGCAGTGCAGGGCCGAGCCGGGAGGGCGGCCCCTGGGCCCTTCCTCCAGGCGCTGCAGTGCAGGGCCGAGCAGGGAGGGCGGCCCCTGAGCCCTTCCTCCAGGCGCTGTGGGTGGGCTGTCCCTTGGTGTAGTGTCATCTGCCACAGGGTCATACTGAGAATAGTTGCCGGCCACCACAAGGTGCCCTCATGGCGCCCCTCCCAGTCACACACTCCATCCCCTTGCCGTGCCACCCGACAGTCACTGGTTGGTAATGCTGGGCGTGGAGTCGTAGGGTGTGGCTTGGAGCCCGGGCCCCGAGTTGTCCCAGGTATCAGGTGTCTCCCGCTCAGCACTGCACAGCCGGCCGATAGTGTCTAAAGATTGTGTAGTTTTTCTTGAAACTGGATCTGTAGAACTGTGTCACCTGACCCCTGTCCGTTTTCTGCTGTGGTTTCTGGTTTGATGGCTTCAGCCACAGGTCACACTCTGTAATTTCAATTCTTGTGTTAGGTTTGCGTGGCTTGCTCTGTGTTGCTGGCTGTGGCACTTGGGACCTGCCAATGCAGGTGCCAGGCACATCTCGGGGCCTCGCAGCCTTGCCGATGGCCTGTGCTGCTCACCAGCAAGGGGGGCTGGCTCCAGCTGTAGCGGGTTTGTCTGCTCGCACCGTGGAGCGTCGGTGTTACCTGCGTGGTGGGATTACTCGGCCGTTATCTCTGTTTTCTGAGGACTGCTTAGTCCAGCTGCTTCTGGGTCTCCCACACGGGTGCAGGTCCCAAGGCCTTGAGCCGTCCTCTGCTGCCTTCGCAGGCCACGGCAGGAAGCTGGAAGGGAAGTGGGGCGCCCGTCTGGCATGTTGGCACTCCGCCTTCCTGCCATTCCAGCGTCGTCTGTCCCTGTGTCTCACTCAGAGCACCTCTGCAGGGACAGCCCACCCTCCCCGGGAACTCCCGCCTGGTCGGTCCGCTCTGACAGTCAGCTGGGCCGTGCCTGTCGGGGAGCTGGGGTCTGTCTGCCTGGGTTTCTCAGCTGCTTCAGCCTGCAGGTTGGTCTTCAAAGCTGGAAGCTTTCACATCATTTCCTCACAAATTCTTCTGGTTCCCCGTCTGGTTAGGGTGCTGGGCCCTGAGGCTCTGTCTGTTTCTCTCCCTCTCTCCCCCCCTCCCTCTCTCTCTGGGTGCTGGGCCCTGAGGCTCACTCTGTCTTTTCTCTCTCTGGGTGACTTGCATGTCTGCTGTTGCCCTCCCAGTCCCCTGCTTGGTCCTCTCCCTGCTGTCTGGGGCCTGTTGCCCTTGAGGACTTGCTGCCGGCCCCATGGCTCCCCCCTGCCGGCCCCCGGCCCCGTGGCTCCCCCCTGCCGGCCCCCGGCCCCGTGGCTCCCTCCTGCCTCTTGGTGTTTTGGGTCTTGGCTGAGGTTTCCAGGATGTTTGCACTTAGCCATAGCGGCATCTTCATGGTGGCCGGTTTTTTGTTTTTTTTTTTTAATTTTTTGACAATCTTCACATAGTTAATTAGGGCTACTGGAAAGTGGGTAAGATTTATTATTTCCGCATTTTTTTATAGTATCTGGGGTAAAGGGGGAGGTAAAGGGAGAAGCCCCACCCAGTCTCCCACCCATCCCAGGTCCCTGATGTGGGCATGTTCCGAGGGTCTTGCTCAAGTGGTTTTGATAGTTCAGCAGTCCTGAATTGCTGGCAATCTTGCCACTCCAAGCACGATGAGGTCGCTGAAGAATCCACTGATTGACGTAGTCCGTCATAGAGGTCCATTTGCCCTGTTTTTCACTGCCAACCTATGGCTGGGGTAGTTGATTGATTTGTTCTGTCCTCTGCTGTGGTGCCAGGTGTCCTCTGCAGGTTCCGATGCACTGCCACGTCCTCCATGTGCACCTGGGTATGCTGTCCACTGCTCCGTCTGAGCCTCTTCGGAAGCTCAGCTCTGGCACTTGCACTCCATGTCAGACCGTGGAACCTGCACTTCTCTTCATGGTTAGGGTTGAGTCCGGCAGTTCGATTGGGGAGATCCCCAAAGACTTTGTCTGAGGTGTTCCCAGACCAGATTCTTGTGTGTACTTGACAGTACAGGGCCTGGCATAGTCCATCGCCCCGATCAGCAGGTGGTTGCAATTGCTGGGTTGGTCCTATTTTCAGCCCCAACTTCCACTGGAACCATTGGGTGTTGCAGTCCAGCCTGGTTCTGATTGGGGCTGTTCTTAACCCTTTGTTAGAGCGGGGCAGGCATTTGGCAGAGCAGCAGTGCCACTCTGGCGTACTCCCACACCAGGCTCCCTCTGAGTCCACCTGGTTTCTGAGTCTCATGCGGCAAATGTGGAAGCCCAAAGTTAGATGTCGTGGCAAAGTGCGTGCTAGCTGCAGAGTGAATAAACATCATGGAAAGCATTTGATTGCACTGCCAATTCTTTGTTCCAGTGCCAGCACAGCTTGGTGGGAAACACCCACAGATAAATGTTGGGGACCACCGCTCTCCGAGCCATAGTTAGGATAAATATTTATATGAAGATTAGGGACACACGGTGTGACAGGAACGGCTTCCTCGTGTGGGCAGGAGTCGTGGCTCGGCTCGCTGTGCTGGGCCCAGGGGGAACCCCCCCACGCTCTGGGCATGCGGCCTGTGCTGGAGCGGGCTGTGCTCACCAGTGTGTGTGCCCGCCGTGTGTGCGGGCCGTTCTCTTCAGTCACTGCACGCACAGAAGAGCGATGTGGATCTGATGAGAACACGGCTGCGGCGCCTGGAGGAGGAAAACAGCAGGAAGGACCGGCAGATAGCGCAGCTCCTGGACCCCGGCCGCGTAAGTGGGCTCGTGCCCGGGCTGCTGCCCGCCCGGCCCCGCGGGCGCCGCTCGGTGCTTTCACGTGTACGTCTGCTTACCGCAGGGCCCCGACTGTGTTCGCACTCTGGCGGAGAAACGGCCTGACACTGGCTGGGTGAGTAGTCTGCAGACAGCCCCACAGTGCCAAGAAGAAAGAGGGTGGGGCGGAGGGGCACAACCTTCTAGAAACTTCCCCCACAGAGCTATAGGAAGATGCCCCAGTACGGCTGGGGAGCATCCAGGAGGTTTACAAGCTGGCCAGGGGCCACGGAAGCCACGTGCTTTAAAGAGTTGGTGGGAAAATGGAATTCAAAGATATATATATATATATATATATATACAGGTGCAAAATAATCTGAAATCTTTGCAATTTTTTCATTGTGTACATTTTCCAAGAACTGCATTAATTAAAAAAATTTTTTTGAATTCAAATAAACTGATGAATTCCATTTTCCACCAACTTTTGCGAGAGCCCTCCTGTTATGAAGTGAGTCACAGAGGGCTTCCCCTCACACCCACACTGCTGTGCTTGACGAGTGAGCCGGAGCAGAGTAAAGCAGTGAGGTCGCCACAGGACACACACAGGTGCGTCACAAAGCCAGCGAAGCCCCGTGGGCCTGGACAGCTTGCATGCACGGGAGCCGAGCCCAGGAGGGTGGCCGGGGCCCGCCCGCCGGCAGGGGTGGGAAAGCTGGTGCCGGCACGGATTCCATGTGGAGCACGTGGCAGTGACATGACTAAAGGGCTGCAGATGAAGCCCCCAGGAACGTGGAGGCATCAGGGAGGGAGTGACCCCAAGTCAACACTGTCTCTGTCCCGAATGCATAAAAACAAAACCGCAGCACGACCTGCAGACCTGGAGACCTGCAGAAGACAGGAGCAGCCTGCAGGCCGGGGTGCACAGGCCGCTCTGTGTCACAGCCGCCATGCTTCATGTCCCTGCTCTGGGCCTGGGACAGGGCAGGCAGCTTTAGCCGGGCTGCTGTCTCAGCCTCCACACAGCAGCTCCCACAGCGGGAGTGCTGGGTTTGCACGCTCATGTGACCGCGTGTGAGTCTCTGGAAGCTGAGGTGAAGAGATTACCCGAATTCTGGAAAGATGCCCGTGGGCTCCGTCTCTGGCTCAGTGAGGACCCTCCTGTCGCTCCTTCTCCGGCTCCTTCAATAACGAAAAGCTGTTGTGTAGTTACTGCTGCCGCTCATCCAACGGTCACCTGCACAAGGATATTCATATCTGCCTAGTTTGAGAGAAAATTTTTTAAAAGATTTATTTTTATTGGCAAGTCAGATATACAGAGGAAGAAAGAGAGGAAGATCTTCCATCCATTGATTCACTCCCCAAGTAGCTGCAACAGCCACAGCTGAGCCAATCCGAAGCCAGGAGCTCTTCTGGGTCTCCCACGCGGGTGCAGGGTCCCAAGGCCTTGGGCTGTCCTCTGCTGCTTTCCCAGGCCACAGGCAGGGAGCTGGATGGGAAGTGGAGCAGCCAGGATTAGAACTGGTGCTCATATGGTATCCTCGCGCATGCAAGGCGAGGACTTTAACCATTAGGCTACTGTGCCGGGCCCAGGTTGAGGGAAATTTTAAGAGGCTTTACAAAGAGGAATTGCTGCTGCAAAACTTTTTGAACAGGTCTTTTTAAAAAGTACAGCATAGCTACGTATAAAAATGCTGAAGGTGCTGAGTACGACTCGGGGGGGGGGCAGGGGTCAGGTCCTGGGCACAGGCAGTGTCCATCCTTAAAGTGCTCTCAGCAGCTGTCCCAGCCCACCTCGAGGGACACTTGCAGGGAAGAGCGGGGGTGTGGTCAAGGCTTGCCTTGGAAGGACTGGCCAGGGCACGCACACCCTGGTGCTGCCTGCCATGCTGTGTGGCCTGTGGGTGCTGTGCCTATAGTGGTGGGTGTGCAGCCTGAGGTCAGCGAGCACAGAACCATACCTCTCGCTACACAATGCGAGTCGACAAGAAAAGGTCACGTGGGCGTCGTGGAGAGACTTTTCCAAAACAAATGGCCGTGCGTGATGAAGCAAAGCCAGCTGTATGCCACATGCCCCGGGGTGCTGGCACGAGAGGGCATGTGGTGCACTGAGGGCTGAGCTGGCTCCTGAGGGGGCAAGGGCAGATAACGAAGCCTAGGGTAGCCCCTGGCGTGGCACCGGCCCTGTGCCTGCCTGTGAGCTCTGGCACCAGGGCTGGCAGCAAGCAAGAAGGAAAACGCTCATGGGAAACAGAAATGGGAGATATGTTTACTTCGGCTCAAAAGACTTGAAATCTTCAGAAATAGTTAAAGATGCATATTACAAAAAAGGCAAGTATGGATTTCACCGGGCCGAGATTGGCCACAGCTGTCCACGGGCTCCAGCTGCCGTGATGGGGCCTGGTTGCAGTGCAGGGCAGGACAGCACCTCTCCCTGCCTTGGCTCCCCAGCATCTGCCTTTCAAATCAATTAACAGCACATTCGTGTATTACTGCAGCATAAACTCACCCTAGATCCTCTTTAAAAGCTTCTGTTCGAAAGGAGAAAAGAAAAGGTGACAGCCTGCTGGAACCTGACCCTGACCCTGACCGGGGACCCTTGGTCACCCCGCTGCAGCAGCCTGCTGGAACCTGACCCTGACCGGGGACCCTTGGTCGCCCCGCTGCAGCCTGGGCCACGGCTCACAGCCTGGGCTCTCAGCATCGTGATGGCAGTGGCTTTCTTAGCGTGGCTGGTGCCACACGCTGCCTGGTCCCTTGCCCGGCCTGCCTGCTGAGCGGGCCACAGGCGTGTCCTCTCCTTACCGCCTTCCTCAGGGATATATGAGTGAGCAAGACAGAGCAGGGGCTGGAAGAGGTCAGTGGCTAAGCAGGAAGGCCCATTGTGGGGGAGCAGGCCCCGGGCCGGAGGGAAGGCGGGGCGGGCTGAGCCCGGGAGGGGGCCTGACTGGTGCCAGCTTCCGTTGCAGGTCATCAATGGGCTGAGGCAGAGGGTCTTCAAGCTGGAGCAACAGTGCAAGGAGAAGGACAGCACCATCAAGTAAGGAGGCCACAGGGCACTCGGGGCTTGGTGAGCCAAGGGGCTCGGAGTGCTGCAGGGCTCGGGGCCACAGGGCTCGGACTGCTGCAGGGCTCGGGCTCAGGGGGCTGCAAGGCTTGGGGCCATGGGGCTCAGAGTGCCATAGATCTCAGGACTCTGTGGGGCTCAGGGTGCTGTGGGGCTCAGGGCACCATGCGGCTCAGGGCACTGTGGGGCTCAGGGCACCGTGGGGCTCCCATCGCTGGCCTTCCTTTCTGAAGGGCCTGCTCCCCACCGTCTCAGGCCTGGGCTGGTTTCTGTCTCTACCGGAATAGCAGCTGTGCCCCCGTCTCCTGGGGCTGCACTTGGCTTTGTGTGTGTGTGTGTGTGTGTTCCCTCTATTCTGAGGGTGTAGGTCACGTCCTGTGACGGGCAGGGTTTGCTCACCAGGCACTAGATACCCACACACCCTCTCACTCCCCAAGCCTGCACTCGCTTCCCTGTGCTGTGTTGGGGCAGTGACACTAGTTCCCTGCCTGTCCCACTTAAGGACAGGTGCAGCAGCGTGCCATGTCTTGGGGCTCCTCTACTCCAGGAATTCTGCCCCTGGCTCCCTGCTGAAGCCCAGCCCCCTGATCCTGGGCTGAGTGCTGCCCAGCCAGCTGGCCTCTCTGAGCTCCTTCTCCAGCTGCTTAGAGACAGTACCTTACCTGGACACCTGCTCTTCAGGGAACTGCTGTGCCTGCCCTGAAGCGAGGCTGCTGCCCTGGAGCGTGGCCGCTGCCCTGGAGCATGGCCACTCCTATTGTGAGGAACTCTGTACCTGAATCGGAGGCTTTGCCCAGGGCAAGGTCCTCTGCCCAGGCCCCGGTGCCACCATGCTAACTGTGACCTCGGGTTTTCAGCAAACTCCAGACAGACATGAAGACTACCAACTTGGAGGAGATGCGGATCGCCATGGAGACTTACTATGAGGAGGTGGGTAGGAGGCTGGGGGCCCAGGGCAGCCTAGGAGCCTGTCCTCCTGTCCCACCAGTGTGGCCTTCACCCTGCAGGGATGCCAACACACCTCAGTAGCAGGGCACCTTCATGCCCCGTGTCTAACGCAGCTCAACTTGTTCACAGATCCATCGTCTGCAGATGCTCTTGGCAAGTTCTGACCCCACAGCAAAGAGGTGAGACCACATTTAGGACACAGTGTCCTGTGTCGGCCCTGAGGGCAGTGTGGCCGCAGTGCAGGCCTGCTCCTGCCCGCCACGTGGCTGCTTCCGCCTGGGGGCTGGGCAGACGTGCCCTCACCCCGGCTCCCTGTGGACAGCTGGTGGACTCCGCGCTCTGGGCGCCAGCCTCACGTGCTCTGGGCTCCCTGCTGGCCTCCAGCACAGCCTGGAAACCCTGTCCTCCGTCACTGCCCTCAGAAAGGCATGGACACAGAAAATTCCAGAAAGTGAGACATGTCAGGGTTCTGCTCAGCTGTCAAACTGCCCGTCAGCCCCAGACAGGGTGTCCCCTAAAGCAGATGCAGTCAGCGTGGCTGTGGGGGGCATGTTGCTGAGGCCCAACCCTGCTTTCCTGCACCCGTGGTGGCACACTGGGGGGGGCCTGTGCTAACAGTGTCCTGCGTCCAGTCGCTGTCTCAAGCCTGCATGACCTCCTCTGCCCTGCGGGAAACGGGCTCAGGTGCCTGGGAGCCACTGGGCACAGCACTCTCTCTGCCTGGCTTGGCACTCAGTGGTCTCTGCCTGGCTTGGGGCTGTGGCCTTGGCGCTGTTCCTCGCCCTGCAGCCAGGCTTGCTGGTTCTCTCACGTGCCTGCACCGCAGCCTCTGCTGTGGATGCCTGGCGGCCATTACAGGCGGGCACGGGCCCCCCGGGAGGGAACGCAGAAGTGCGGCGTTGATGGGCACATCTGAATGCTGAGGAGGCTCACGCTGTGTGTGTGCACGCACTTCCATGAAGCACATGTGGTATTTTACATCTATCTGAAAGGCAGACCAATAGCGATAGAGGAATACAGTGCAACTGGTGGTCCATCCCCAAGTGCCCCCCACAGCCAGGGCAGGGCAGGCCAATGCCAGGAGGCAGGAGTCCCCTGTGGGGCTGACTCGGACGGTACCTGCGCAGTCACTGACTGCCTCCCAGGGACGTGGGCAGGACGCTGAGTTAGAGTCGAGCAGCTGGGGCTCAGACCGGCTCTCCTACATGGGATGCACCCGTGCCAGGCAGTAGCTTTGCCAGCTGTACCAGCCCTGCCCTTGGGGCTTCCAGGGGTAGGAGTGTCACAGACAGCAAATGTGCAAATCTGAGGACCTGAACGCATTTTTAGATTTTACAAGAGGCAAAATGGCAGCCCCTTATACAACAAGCAAGAAAATCAGTCTCCCTAAAACTGACAAGCTCTAAACCATGACGCTGGTACTCCGTGCACCCTTACAGAGTAGGGCGAGTGCTGGCAGCATGGGTGTGGCTGCCCGCTCACAGCCCCATCTCCACCCGGTCCCCAGGCCCGCAGGGGAGAAGAGGGCCGGCGTCAAGCGGCAGAAGAAGGTGAGCAGCGCCCTGCTGAGCCTGTCACGGAGTGTGCAGGAGCTGACGGAGGAGAACCAGAGCCTGAAGGAGGACCTGGACCGCATGCTGAGCAGCTCTCCCACCAACTCCACCATCCAGGGTACCCGCCATGGGGGCACCGCGCCATGGCCAGGACGGGAGGGGGTGGCAGAGAAGGGACCATCCAGGGTACGCGCCATGGGGGCACCGCGCCATGGCCAGGACGGGAGGGGGTGGCAGAGAAGGGACCATCCAGGGTACCCGCCATGGGGGCACCGCGCCATGGCCAGGACGGGAGGGGGTGGCAGAGAAGGGACCACGTGCTGAGCGGCTCCCCACAACTCCACCATCCAGGGTACCCGCCATGGGGGCACTGTGCCATGGCCAGGATGTTAGCACTGCTGCACGGAGGAAGTGTCCTCTGCCTCCTGTGTCAGTCCTGGGCACAGAGAAGGGGACCAAGCACCAGGGCCACCCCACAGAAGGGTCAGTTCATCCAGAAGGGCTATGAAGTGAGAGGGGCAGCAAGGGTGTGGCGGGCAGGCAGGGGGCACTGAGGTGGAAGCTGGCACAGCCTGCACAAGGGCAGAGCTGTCAGGCAGCTGAGGCCAGGCTGGGCCAGGAGCAGTAGGGCGACCTGTGTGCCCTGGCAAGGCCCAGGTGGCACCCAGCGAAGGCACAGAAATCATGGGCAGTGAAGACGTCTGCTGGACCGAGGCTGTGCAGAGCAGAGGGCGCCCCACTGCTGCCCTGGGCCCTGACTTCTGTGCAGAGCAGAGGGCACCCCACTGCTGCCCTGGGCCCTGACTTCTGTGCAGAGCAGAGGGCGCCCCACTGCTGCCCTGGGCCCTGACTTCTGTGCAGAGCAGAGGGCGCCCCACTGCTGCCCTGGGCCCTGACTTCTGTGCAGAGCAGAGCAGAGCAGAGGGCGCCCCACTGCTGCCCTGGGCCCTGACTTCTGTGCAGAGCAGAGGGCACCCCACTGCTGCCCTGGGTCCTGACTTCTGCGCAGAGCAGAGCAGAGCAGAGGGCGCCCCACTGCTGCCCTGGGCCCTGACTTCTGCGCAGAGCAGAGGGCATCCCACTGCTGCCCTGGGTCCTGACTTTTGTGCAGAGCAGAGCAGAGGGCGCCCCACTGCTGCCCTGGGTCCTGACTTCTGTGCAGAAAAGGGGGGTGCCCAGACAAAGGCCCTTACACAAGTAGTGAGGTGTGCGGGTTGGGTGGGGCAATGCCGAGGGGTGAAAGGGGTCAGTCACAGTGTCCCTGCGAGCAAACCCTCATGACACATGAAGTGGACACTCCAGGCCTGCAGGAGGGCAGGAGGCAGATTCCCAGGACCTGGAGCGGATGAGCGACCCTTTCCTGAGGTGGGGCAGGGGCCGGGGGGTCGAGGTGTGGCGAGCTGCTGTGCCCGTGGCCCAGGATAAGGACAGTGGGGTGGCCCTGCAGGACGCCTGGTGGACCCCCTCGGACAAGGGCAGTCTGGAGCAGCAGCCTGACCGAGGTGGCGGGCAGGGGCCCACTGGGCACCTCGACAGGAAAGGTCTTCGGATTGGGGAGGCCAGAGGTGCCTGGAGCAGGGCCAGGCATAAAGGGAGCAGGTGTCCAGTCCTGAGGATGCCCTCGGAGGGCCAGAGCCAGCCCACCGTGAGCCTCGTGGCCTTGCCAGTGGCTTACCAACCCTTCAGGCCTGTGAGCTGGGCCCGCTGAGGAGGTTGGGCTGTGCCAGCGTGGCCAGCGGGATGGCGGGATCGTCTTTCCGAAACCCTCTGGCTCCCGCAGGGTACGTGGAGTGGAGCAAGCCCCGGCTGCTGAGGCGCATCGCTCAGCTGGAGAAGGTGACAAGGCAGCGTGGGGGGCCCTGCGGGGGGCTCGGGGTTCACAGGCCGCACCCAGAGAGACGAAGGGACAGGACCTGAGGGCCACCCGGGCAGTATTAGCCACTGGCGGCCCTGTGCGAGCTGGGCTCCCAGCCGTCCTGCCCGCTTCGCTGCCTGCCACCCTCTCCCACTTTGCCAGGAGGAAGCCCGGGCAGTGAACAGCTCGGGGAGGAGTCGGGCACTGCAGGGGGTCAAGGGTCGGGGCTCACACGGCAGAGGGGGTGCTAGCTGGTGTGGCCACGCAGAGGAAGACTCGAGCAAAAGCCTCACAGTAAAAACTGAGCAAGTTCTATGGACTGTGGCATCTTCAAAATGAAGCTTGGCAGGGTCAGAGGCCCCAGAGGTGCAGAATACGGAAAGCATTTCCATGGGCCGAGACACAGCAGAGATGTGCAGGACGCGGGAGTGTCCACGGCCCTGTGGTGGCCAGGGGCCCTGGGGCTGTGGGGTCAGCAGCACGGGGCATACAGCCCCAGCCCCTCTGGGTGTTCTTGGGCCCTACTGACCACGTGCCCACTCCCAGCAAACGCCTCTTCTGGGGGCTGGGCAGCAGGATGAGCGGGGTCTAACCAGTGCCCACGTCGCCTCCAGAAGATAAGCTCAATGGAGAGTTCCAGGACCCTCGCTGCAGAGGCGGGCAAGCAGAAGCCTCCGGCTGCCTCGGCGTCCGTCTCGCCCCTGCACGGACAGCCTCCGACAGACTGCCCAGAGGACCTCGCTCGCCTCCGAGGGGCCGTGAAGAGCCTGAAGGGGGAGCGGGGCATGCTGCAAGCCCAGCTGCTGGAGAAAGAGTAGGTGCCCGGGGCCGGCCGAGGGCATGTCTCGGGGAACTGGGCTCCTGCTACGACGGCACGCCTGAGCCTGGGCTGCAAAATGGGTAGCTGCTGTGGGAGGGCTCCCACATCTCAGACAGGCCCACGGAGGGGTCCCCAAGTGTTGCCCACAGTGTGACCCAGCCAAACACTGGGTGCTTTGCCCTCGCTGGACAAGCTTAGCTCCTGGTGAGTGAGCCCCACCTGTGCTCAGGTGACCTGGCCGTGCAGAGGTCCCAGGAGCCTCAGTGGCCCGGGGCCGGGCTGATAAAAAGCGGCATTTCATAGGGAGGTTTTAAATTCAGTCAGTCATTTTGAAATGTCAGTAGCTTCTGGAGTTATCTGTTAAGCTACCATGTGCCCTAAGTGGCATAGGAGCCCATCCACGGGCCCCGCTGTGTGATGGCAATCAGCTGGGCATACAGCAGGAGCAGATGTGAGAGCAAGCTCAAGGTCTCCCTGCCACACGGGGGGCACCTGCAGGTCTGGCACAGCCGAGCGGGCATAGCGGTGCCGTCTAGGCGATCCTGGCCTGCCCCCACCCCTGCCTACCTGCAGCACACTCCCAGATGTATGAGGGGCCCCCAATCCCTGTGGGACTCTGAGTCCCACGCAGGCTGTCAGCTCACCTTCCAGCCTGCTCCGGGCACCTTGTCGAAGTGAGGGCCTTTGCTGAGCTTCTGTCCGGGGGTGTGGGGGGGACGAGCTCCCCGGCTCTGAGCGGGCTCTGCTTGTCCCCCCAGCGTGGAGCTGAAGCAGCTGCTGCAGGCCCAGGCTGAGCTGGAGAGGCAGCTGGAGCGTGCCAGGGAAGGCGAGAGGCAGAGCCGCGAGCAGGAGGCAGCCCTGAGGTAGGTGACCCCGCACAGCCCCCAGAAGCCTGGGGCGACCCCCGCGGCAGCCTGCCCTCCGTGCGGTGCAGGTCTGGTCACTGCCTGACGTCAGTTCCTGATCTAGGTGGCCGCGCAGAGGGTGACCCCTCGCCCACATGGCTCTGCAGCGTGCCCGGGCACATGTGCCGCATCCTGGACCGTGTGCCAGGCAGGCTGTGTCAGTGCATGGACCCACAGAACCAGCAGGCCGAGGGCAGGTGCTGGGGGCGGGCCGTCAGGAATGCTGTGAAATCAGATACAACACCCAATTACGGGCCCGGCGCGGTGGCGCAAGTGGTTAAAGGTCCTCGCCTTGCACGCCCGGGATCCCATATGGGCGCCGGTTCTAATCCCGGCAGCCCCGCTTCCCTTCCAGCTCCCTGCCTGTGGCCTGGGAAGGCAGTCGAGGACGGCCCAAGGCTTTGGGAACCTGCACCCACGTGGGAGACCCGGAAGAGGCTCCTGGCTTCGGATCGGCTTAGTATCGGCCCGTTGCGCTCACTTGGGGAGTGAATCATCGGACGGAAGATCTTCCTCTCTGTCTCTCCTCTCTGTATATCCGCCTTTCCAATGAAAAAATAATAAAAATAAATCTTTAAAAAAATATATATAATAAAAAAAAAACACCCAATTACACTGAAAACCACACGGCTGCACATTTTAAAACTGAGTTTTGTGTTTTGAATTCCATCTCAATTTATTTGAAAGGCAGAGTTACAAAGAGGAGATACAGACCCAATCTTCCGCCTGCTGATTGCTCTCCACATGGCCACAGTAGCCAGGGCAGGGCTGTGCCAGGCCAAACCCAGGAGCCCGGAGCTGCTTCCAGGTGTCCCACGTGGGCCATCTGAGCCTCCCAGGCACGTCAGCCAGGAGCCGGAGGAGAAGGGGAGCTGCCAGAACTCAGACCAGCACTCATGGGATGCCAGCACTACAGGCAGAGGCGTAGCACGCGGTGCCACAATGCTGGCTCCTGTCTTCAATTGTAAAAATACCTGGGAATGCAAGCAGAGCAGAGCCTGGCATAGCTGCAGGGAAGCCACCTGGGATGCCACTGCCCACACTGGGGTCCCTGGGTTCCCACTTCCTGCGAAGGCCCCGGGAGGCAGCAGCTCAGGCTTCAGGACGTGGTCCCTACGTTCACCCAGGTTCCAGCCCCGGGCTGGGCAGATGCACTCACATCAGAAAGTGACCGGAGGTTAGGGTTAGGAAGGACAGGTGGGCTGTCCGCAGACAGCCCCGCCCAGTGACAGGCCTTCCTTCCTGCCTCAGGGAGGAAATCCAGACTCTAAGCAGCAAGTGTCAACAGCTGGAGGAAGCCAGGAAAGAAGACAAAGTGGACCCTGAGCAAGCGGCTCACCAGGTACTCCTGGCTGTGTTGCTTGCTGGGCTGTGTGGGCAGGGGGCGGGGCCTCTGTGGGCAGGGGCGGAGTCTGGGGGGCAAGGTGGGGTCTCTGCCAGTCAGGGCGGGGCCTTGTGGGCCAGGGCGGGGCCTTGCGGGTAGGGGCAGGGCCTGGCATCCCTGCGGCTTGAGGCCAGTGGATGGCGGGGCTGTCTGGCCATCTCGCTGGTCTCCGATGTCCTGCACTGCTCCCAGGACGGTGCGTTTAGGACTGGCTCAGCCAGCAGAGGGGGCTCGCGTGCAGGCCTTGGCAGCTGCTGCCCGCCAGGCGGCTCACTTCCTTCCCTGACTGTCCCCTTGTGCACTCGCAGGCTGGGGGCTGTGCCGGGGCACCTCTCCTGGCCATGACCACCCTCTGGAGGCTGGCAGCACTGGGTCTGCCGGCCGGGCTGTCAGTCTCACTTGGCATCCTGCCTCCTGGCAGAGCAGGGACACATCGAGGTCCTGGACTTGCCATGTCCTTTTGCCACGCTGTGTGAGGGCTGAAGAGCACCCACACCGTTGGCCGGGACAGCCTGCACGCCGCCCCTGCCGTCTCGGGGAGCAGCTGGGCTGTGGGGCCCTGTGAGGGAGGCGTGCTCCTCTGCCACAGCCGGCAGAGTGGCCTGAGTGACACCCTGACACAGGAAACACCTGCCAAAATGCGCTGCCTGCAGGGGTGCGGCTGCAAGTGCTTTTTCTTTCTTCTTCATTCTCTTCTCGGGGAGTGCTGCCAGCAGGCCCTGGCACCACCGAGGGGGTGAGGTGATGGTGCTTTTCAGCTGCAGAACCAGCGGGCACAGCCTGATGGAACGTGTCCGTACAACTTACAGAGACTAGGAAAGGGGAAGGCAAGAGGGTGGTCTGACAGCCCCCCACCCAGTGCGCCCTAGTTGGCCTTGGCCAGAAGGCGCATTCGTCCCTTGAGTCATTGTGGTCATGTCACAGGTCACGGTCGGCACCCACAGCTGGAGGCTGTGCCGCGGGTCGGGGCCGGTGGGCTGTGGTCGCACCCAGGCAGCAGGAGAGTCCGGGGCGGTCTCCCACACCCTCTGACCTTCCACCTTCCCGCTTCTCTGAGTAGAGTGTTCCCACGTGAAGGAAGGCTCCAGGCGCTCAGGGCTGCTCTGCCAGAGCGGCCGTCCGGCTTGCACAGGAACGCCTGTGCAAAGGCCCTGTGGCAGATCAGCCCCGTGTGCCCAGGGCTCCAGGCAGCTGCCAGCCAGCAGGAGGCACAGGCCACTGGACGAGGAGGGCCCAGGCTCAGAGGGCAGGAGCGGGGAAACTCTGCTTCGATAGCCACAGGCTGGGCAGCCACTGAGCAGGCCGAGGCCAGCTGGTGCCTCTGGAGGGGTGGGAGCATGGTGGGCCTGGGGCGTGGGCTGTCCGCTAGCAGGAGCCCCGTGGCCGACCGACTGTGCTGGACACCTCTATGCAGGCGGCTCCCTGTGCCTTGTGCTGTGACCAGCACAGCCCACAATTTCCAGTTCTCGTGAGGAGTGGCCTTTGCCAGCCCCCTCGGCCCCTTAAGGCGCTCAAGTCAGCGATGCTCCAACACCCAGCAGCCAGCCTGCTTCCTTCGCCCCTAAAGCCCGAGCCGGGATGTGGTGCCCGGAATCCAGAAATGCCACATTACCACACGGTGTTAGAGGAGGCTCCCACGAGGGCAGACCGAGCCTGCGTCCACAAGAGGCCCCGTGGAAGCGCCTTGGGGCCCACAGGGGCCTGTTGGCGTCTCTGCCCCTCCCAGAGGCGGGCTCCGCGAGCCGTGTCCTGTGGTGACCCTGCAGCCGCGTTGCCCGATCGTCTGCTGTGATTAGCAGGGCCAGCCAGGCAATATCCGGAGCCTGGCCTGGCCCTCTTCTCCCTCAGATCCCATCAGCTTCATCCGCTTTCAATTTCCTGCAGACCCACGGAGAACAGCCAGCGGCCCCCGCGGGCAGCAGGCTCTCCCAGCAGGACCCCGAGCCGCGCCCTGGCCAGGAGGGCGAGGAGGGCATCTCTCAAGCCCCCTCCCCCAGCCTGGAAGAGAGAAGAGAGGCCGCCGCCCGAGTCCTGCAGGCCCGGTGGAGAGCGTACCAGCACCAGGTGAGCCCTGCCAGGGCCCCACTGCCCGCTGGGCCCGCACTGCCCGTGCGCAGGAGGGCACCGGGAAGGTGCCGTCAGCAGTACACGCAGGCGACGCTGGGTGGGCGTGCCCCTTGGGACACGTGGGAAGTGGGGACGCTGCTCATGTTAGCAGAGGAGCAGGGGGACGAGTTACCTGTGCAGGACTTTGAGGAGCTCACCTGGCCTGTGGCTGCAGGTCTGGGTGTGCTTGGAGACTGGCCCAGGCACAGCACCGTACCCCTCCCACCCTGCCCTGCCAGGGCTTCAGCGGACAGGCGTCCTCCAGTCCACCGCCGAACACGGGGGTGTGAACCCCACGGCAGACATGGCAGTGTGAACCTCACATCTAGACACGGGGGTGTGAACCCCCACAGCCAGTCATGGAGGTGTAAACCCCACAGCCACGCATGGCAGTGTGAACCCCCACAGCCAGACACGGGGGTGTGAACCCCCAAGGCAGACACGGGGGTGTGAACCCCCAAGGCAGACACGGGGGTGTGAATCCCCAAGGCAGACATGGGGGTGTGAACCCCCCACAGCAGACACGGGGGTATGAATCTCCACAGCCACGCACGGCAGTGTGAACCCCCACAGCCAGACACCGGGGTGTGAACCCCCAAGGCAGACACAGGGGTGTGAATCCCCACGGCAGACATGGGGGTGTGAACCCCCAAGGCAGACACGGGGTGTGAACCCCCACAGCCAGTCATGGAGGTGTGAGTCCCCATAGCCTGTCCTCTCCCAGGGCTTTCTGGGAAGACTCCATTTGACCAGAATGGGATGCACAGAGTGGGATGACTCTTCAGCACACGGCAGGCATGTGGGAGGGGAGCCCGAGTGCCAGGGAGGTGGGGTTCTGAGGAGTTAGTCCTTAAAGGCCTCTGGTCCCCTCCCCCCAGCTAAATGCTGCATTTCTGCTCGGGTGTGAGTGCCTCGGGTGTGAGTGCCTGGGACCCCACAGCCCGTGACGGTCCCTGCGCTGGGCCCTGGCTCCCTGTGGTGTCCAGCCGGCAGCTGGGCCTGGCTCACAGGCGGGAGGCCTGAGCTCAGCCCCATCCTGGCTGTTGAGACAGAAGTAAGACAGTGGATGGAAAGCCTCCCTGTGCAAGCCCTCAGCTCGCCTGTGCATCACGCTGTCTTCCAAGTAGACAACACATGAAGGAACCTAACATTTTTTTAAAAGATTTATTTATTTTTGCTGGAAAGACAGATATACAGAGAAGAGGAGAGACAGAGAGGAAGATCTTCCATCCAATGATTCACTCCCCAAGTGGCTGCAACGGCTGGAGCTGAACTGATCCAAATCCAGGAGCCAGGAGCTTCTGGGTCTCCCATGTGGTGCAGGGTCCCAAGGCTTTGGGCCATCCTCGACTGCTTTCCCAGGCCACAAGCAGGGAGCTGGATGGGAAGTGGAGCCGCCAGCATTAGAACAGGTGCCCATATGAGATCCTGGTGTGTTCAAGGCGAGGACTTCAACCACTATTGTGCTAGACCCGAAACTAACATTTTCTTAAAAGGCAGCTGAGGCCTTCAAAGCCACTCCTTTTTTCTCCCTAGTGTCAGACTAAAACCAGATTTCTCAGTTGCCTAAGTGTTGCGGGAGCTGAGCAGTGGGCGGGTCTCAGCGTTGATGAGCAGAGCTGTGTGCGTGCTCTGCGGCGCGCTCCCAGCAGCAGCGTGGTCTGCCTCCTGTGACGTGGGGCAGGCGCCTGAACACCAGAACCTTCTCTGTGTACCCGCCAGGAGTGCAGCACAGGTGACCTCAGCCTGGGTCCCCAGAGGTCACTGTCATGGCCGAGGCCACCCGAAACAGGAGAGAAGCGGCTTAGTGCTGCGGCTTTCACTAGAAAGGCAGAAGGACAGACAACTTTGCTCCCCTGGTCCACTCCCCAAACACTGGTGACAGTCAGGGCCAGGTCTGGGCAAGGCAGGAGCCCAGAACGCTAAGGTCCCCCTTGGCAGGGGCTGGGACCTCCCCGTGCGTGGGCAGGCAGCCGTGGGCAGGGAGTCCATGGGCAGGCAGCTGTGGGCAGGCAGCCGTGGGCAGGGAGTTGTGGGCAGGGAGTCCATGGGCAGGCAGCTGTGGGCAGGCAGCCGTGGAAGGAAGCAGCACTCCCACGGGAGCTGGCTGCATCAGTGTCTGATGGCACATGCTCGCTCCCTCTCTTGCTCACTTTCTCACTCTAGTGAGGAGGAGTGTTACTGTGGCTTCAAATTTATCCATTCAGTATTTTTTTTAAGATTTTTTTGTTGGGCCCAGTGTGATAGCCTAGTGGCTAAATCCTCACTTTGCATGCGCAAGGATGCCATGTGGGTAGTGGTTTGGTCCTGGCCACTCCACTTCCCATCCAGCACCCTGCTTGTGGCCTGGGGGAGCAGAGGAGGACAGCCCAAGGCCTTGACCCTGCACCCACATGGGAGACCTGGAGGAGGCTCACGGCTCCTGGCTTCAGATCAGCGCAGCTCTGGCTGTTGGGGATAATTGAGGAGTGAACCAGCAGATGGAAGATTTTTCTGCGTCTCTCCTTCTCTCTGTAAATGTGATTTCCCAATAAAAATAAATAAACCCTTGTTTTAAAATCAATTATTTTAAAAAAAGATTTTTCTATTTCTTTGGAAAGCTGTTAGTAGGAGAGGGAAAGCAAGAGAGGGGTCCTCTGAGGTTTGTTTCCCAGGTGATGCAGTGCACCGGGCTGGGCCAGCTGCAGCCAGCACCCAGGGGCTCTGCCAGGTCTCCCTGCTAGGGCGCCTCTGTAGGGAGCTGCAGCAGAAGTGGGGCGGGCAGGGCTCAAACTGGTGCCGACAGAGAGCCAGTGTCACAGGCCGAGGCTTAACCGACTACGCCTCAACAGCAGCCCCCATTCAACCTTTTAAACTTAGTTTATAACCACTCTTCTGACGTTCCAAGTGACCCAGTGCCCAGGCAGCCATGGCCTTTCTCTGCCCGTGCCTGGAGCCTGGTGTTTCTGAGGCGTGGCATGCTCGGAAGGGGCTTGCCTCCTGGCATGGTCCTTCCCGCAGTCTGCCCTTTGCCTCACCAGGAAGACCATGGCCCAGGGCCAGGAGCACTGCCACCTCTGCACGTGCATGGCCAGGCCCCAGGAGGACAGATGGGCCCAGCCGGGGCCCACTGGGAGCTGCCCTCAGATGCCCTGGGCCCCACTCCTGTCCTCACCCCTCACGGAACTGGCACCAGGAGTGAAACTGGTGTGAAGCCCCTCCCTGCGCTCCCACTAACTCAGGCTGTGTTTCTCTATTTCAGAAACAAAGGGCTGTCCTGGACGAGGTGAGTCCATTTCACCAAACTCAAAGCACAGGGTTTTATTCTGGCACAAAATGAGGGGTTTGCAGATGCCCCGTCCGCCCGATTCTCAGACACAGGCCACATGGCACTCAAACACCAGACACATCTCACCCTCAGAGTTGAGCATTCTGCCAGCCCTCGCTGAGTGGTGTGCCCGGCAGGAGGACTGCTCAGGGCGGCAGGGCCCCTGCAAGGGCCACAGGACTGAAGGGCTCCCTTTGCAGAGTGGGCAGGAGGGGCTGCAGGGGCCGAGAGGCGGGGGGAGAAACGCCACAGCGCAGGGGTGTCCCACACTGCAGAGCGGCTCAGGGCCTTGGGACGCCGACTTGGTCATGTGAAACAGTGAGAGCCTCCGTCCACGGGCTCACTGCCCGGATGCCCGCTGCAGGGCCTTCTGGGGCCGGACTCTGGGTCAGCAGGGGGCAGGGGCTCCAAGCAGCACCGCGATTCAGGATGCTCAGGATACGGAGGAGCCCACGGCACCACAGTGCCTTCCGCCGGCTGGAGACCTGGAGGCCTTGGTCCTGCCCGTCCCTCTGGGCTTCCGGGGCAGCGCTGCATCCCAGGCCGGCCTCCGCCTCGCTGGCAGCCCGTGTCCCAGCAGCGCACCGTGCAGTCATGCTGCCGCGGCCCCAAGGGATGTGGGTAGATGCTGAGGTCCAAGTGACAGGGCTGAACACTCCAGAAGCTGGTCACCACCCATGCCAGCGCCTGGTGCCCACTTGCCCTGCTCACCCCCGGTGCCCCCGGCACTCTGCTCACCCCTGGTGCCCCGCAGTGCCCTGCTCACCCTTGGTGCCCCGCTTGCCCCACTCACCCCTGGTGCCCCGCTTGCCCTGCTCACCCTTGGTGCCCCCGCTTGCCCCGCTCACCCTTGGTGCCCCCGATGCTCTGCTCACCCTTGGTGCCCGCTTGCCCTCCTCACCCCTGGTGCCCGCAGTGCCCTGCTCACCCTTGGTGCCCTGCTTGCCGTTCTCACCCCTGGTGCCTCACTTGCCCTGCTCACCCCTGATGCCCCGCTTGCCCTGCTCACCCCTGATGCCCCGCTTGCCCTGCTCACCCCTGATGCCCCGCTTGCCCTGCTCACCCCTGGTGCCCGCAGTGCCCTGCTCACCCCTGGTCCCCCGCTTGCCTCGCTCACTCCTGGTGCCTCCGCTTGCCCTGCTCACTCTGGGCTGTGAGCACCTAAGCAGTGGTGCAGCAGATGCCCCCTCACTGCCTGGTCTGCACCCCAGCTGCTTCCTCAGCCACCCATCAGCTGTCCTGCAATCGGCCCCGTTACTGACCTGCTGAAGGCTCCCAGCATCCCTCGCTCTGTCCTCTCCCATCTCCAGTCCTACCCACATCCTACCCACCAGCTCCCACTGAGCCCTCTGCTTCCACACCTGTGTCTGTTCCTTGCCCGCCCTCCCTGGGTCCTGCCCCTACGGAACCCACCGCAGGTCAGCCTCTCCCCTCCCTGGTCCTGTCACTAGAGTGTGACCCTGGCCAGAAGGCATTTGGCACTTGCCCTGAGCTTACTAGGACACGTCATGCTTGGCTGTCCACAAATGCCAGCCCTCCTCACCCTCTGCTGTGCACCGTGCTCCCTGAGAAACTGTGAGAGCAGGGACTTGGCACTGGCTGGAAGTGACACATCACACTCCCCGGGACGGCCCGGAGCAGGCAGGGGTGAGGATGTGGGGAAGTGGGAGCCCCTGGCACTGTAGGTGACGGAACCTGGCACGACCACTGCAGAACAGCCAGCAGGACCCCTCCTGGGCGTGTGCCTGCTGTCCACAGACGGTCCCTCTGCTAACGCTGAGCAGGTGCAGCCCGCCCTGCGTGGGTGGCTGAGCCCAGGGAAGATGCTGAGGGGACTCCACACTCAGGAAGGGATGCCAGGCTCCAGGCAGGGCTGCCATCTGGGGTAACCCGAGAGCCCAGAGCTAGCCATGGCCGCACATACAGTGTGGCACTCGGCTCAGAGCCATTCTCTAAATAGTTAGGGAAACTGCCGGAAAGCTCTAGAAAGGCCATGGAGAGTGCTCCTCCCCTCCTGCCCTGCCCGGTGTTCTGTGCCCCTTGCTCTCGTCAAAACTCACACCTCCTGGTTTGTTTTCTTTTTCTAAAGATTTTTTTTTTTATTGGAAAGTTAGATTTACAGAGTGAAGGAGCGACAGAAAGATCTTCCGTTTGCTGGTTCACTCCCCAAGTGGCTGCAATGGTCAGTGCTGAGCCATTCTGAAACCAGGAGCCAGGAGCCTCTTCCAGGTCTCCCATACAGGTGCAGGGTCCCAAGGCTTTGGGCCATTTCCACTGCTTTCCCAGGCCACAAGCAGGGAGCTGGAAGGGAAGTGGAGCAGCCAGGATACAAACTGGTGCCCACATGGGATCCTGGACGTGCAAGGCGAGGACTTTGGGACATGAGGCGCCAGGCCCTCGCGTCTCCTGTAGTGACCCTGCTCCCTTGGCCACCCCCAGTGTGTTGTGCAGGTGTCTGCCTGCCAGTCTGCTGACCCCATCCTCAGCCGGCCATGCTGCAGGCTGACCCTGCCGGAGCCCCAGCAGCCTGAGTACCTGGGTGCCTCCGCCCTCTCTCCAGGGTGTGCACCAGCTGCAGTGGTCCCAGCCCTTCCTTCCTGCTGCGCCCAAGTCAGAAAGGCCGCTGCAGGTGCAGGCGGCAGTCTCAGTGTCCATGCTAAGCTCCGCCTCCCACTGGACCTCCTAGCCCCCTTCCATTCCCCTCGTCAGGGCAGCTGGCACAGAACAGACAGTACAAGGCCGCCTGCACCCCCACCCGGCTGCCTGGCATTGCCCAGCTTTGGATGTCTCCACTGTCCACCGCCGGTCTCACAGAAGCTTGCTCTTGCCGCACGGCCTTGCACCGAAGCCTGGAGGCCCTTGTGCAGGTTCTGTCCTGCCTTGTCCCCTAATCTGTCTGAGACCCCATTTCCTCCAAGGCCCATCCTGTGCCCTAACCCACCATGGCAGGTAAAATGGTACTTCATTGCAGAAGTGCTGCCAGCCTCCCCACTGACCCTCAGCCTCCTGGGGGCAGGGACCTCATCGCTAGTGCCCCCGGCAGGTCCAGGGGACACATGGCCATATCTGTGGTGCTCCGCGCTCTCCTCCAGGGTATGCCCAGCACGGCGCCATCCCCTCCGGCTGTGGGTACTCAGGAAACATGTCCTGCACCTCCCGCTGTGCTCATTGGCTGGCCACAGTACCAAGCAGCACACAGGTGCCACGTGCTCTGACAGTGCCAGGTCAGGCCCAGGTCGGGACTGTCGTGTGGACCTGATCAGAGACAAGGGCCTGCCTACACGCTGCGTCCACTTCAGCACTCGTGCATGTCCCGTCCAGCAGGACAGTCAACGGGGGGTCGCAACCGCCTAGGAGAGATTGGGGGACAAGAGACACGAAGAGTGGACAGCAAGACAGGATGTCTGATCAAGCTGTCAGTTTATTGATTTTAATTGAGGGTTTTTATACTCTTCAGTAACTAAGGCTCAGGGGGGAAAGGAGAAACTAGGACGCAAGCCATGGTCTCCAGACCGATTGTTCTTGAGCAGCCACCATATCCACAATAGTAACCAACATATCAACAATAGCATAGGTAATCAGTAACAAGATGTCGGCAGGTACAGCATAAATCACATTCTAAAACACTTGCTACAAACAATTGAAGCTAAGTGTGTGATTAGCTTCATAACTTCTTTCCCAAGCATCTAGCCAGCCAGGGGTTTTCCACTGGCCCACAGTTCTATATTCAAAATGGCTTCAGTGTGGCTACAGTACACAGCTCCTGACACGTACACTTCCTGAACACCCAGTCATGGGCCAAACCATCCCAGGTGACCACTCCTGAGCCCCTGCCCTGCCCTGCTCCAGACGCGAAAATGTGTTTGAAGAAGGAACTCCAGGGGCGTGGCACCCCATCAGAGCAAGTCCCGGCCCTTCCACTTCTGATCCCGCCCCCTGCTCAGGTTCCTGGGGAGACATAGCTGGAGGTTCTGGGCTCTCAGCCCCACCCTGCCCAGTGACCCAGTGCAGGAAGAGCGCCCCCTTCCTCCGTAACTCTTCCTTTCAAATAAGTAAATCTAAAAAGAAAAAAAAAATCTGACTTTCAAAAAAAATTTGTACCGAAATGAGTTTATCTCTTCCTTCTATTTTCCAAACTTTGCTCGGCACCCTGTGTGTTTGGAAAGTAGAGCCGAGGGAAGTCTCCAGAGGCGTGGTCAGCAGCCGACCTGTGTGTTCCCGGACCGTCTGGGTGTCCACCTGTGAGGCAAGGGCCTGCCTCGCCCGGTGCCCGCCTGCAGGGAACCAACCGTCCCCTTCTCTCCCTCTCTTTCCTGCCAGGCCGCAGTCGTCCTGCAGGCAGCCTTCAAGGGACACCTGGCCCGGACACAGCTGCTGTCCAGCCAGGCATGTGACCCCCAGCCTCAGGTGAGCACCTCAGGCCCCCGGCGGGGTGTGTACAGGCCAGCTGCTTGGCCAGGAGCGAGGAGTGTGTGCGTCCAGGTGGAGGCGGCACTCTGCGGTCACGGGCAGGGCCGGTGCCACGGAGGGTGGGCGGGGCTGAGACCACCCTGGGCCTGTCCCCACGCAGGAGCCGCCCGTGGCCCCGGGCCCCAGCCCCACTGTCCCCACGCAGGAGCCGTCCGTGGCCCCGGGCCCCAGCCCTGCAGCTCCCGTGGAGCACAGCCCTGAGGAAGCCGTCACTGTGGTGCAGTGTGTGCTCCGAGGACACCTGGCCCGGGCCAAGCTCAGGTGAGGCAGGTGGCGGCGGGGAGGGTGGGGGGGAAGCTGGTGCAGCCTCTCAGTTAGACCCTTTGAGAAATCCCTACAGGGCTGTGGCTGCCAGGGACCAGTTCTGGGGAAGTGGCCCTCACAGCATGCTGCCCTCCACGGGACAGGACAGAGGGGTCAGAGCCTTGGAGGTAGGGGGCCCGCTGGCCTGTCCCAGCACTGTGCACTTCCCAGCGGCAGCACTCCTGCGGGGTCTCCTGGGTGTCTCTGACGGAAAGGGAACAGGCTGCTAGCTGCCTGAGCCTGGGGGGCCAGCCCAGGGGGACTGCCTGGGGGGCTCAGGCCTCCCTCGACACCCCACCCACTCGGCTCTGCCCGCCAGCCTCCTGTCCCTCCTGTGGCAGATGGCTGTCCCTCAGGGTTCCTGGCACAGAGTGACAGCTCACCATGGCCTCAGGTGTCCCTCTGCGAACAGCCAGGCCCCACCTGAGGTTCAGGGTCTCATTCCTTCCAAACTAGAAACAGCCAGTCTTGGTGCAGGAGCCTCTGCCAGAGGCAGGGAGCCGCTGGTCACCGCTGCAGGTCCCTGAGAACAGCCTGCTGGCCGGGGCAAGGACAGCTCACGAACCCACACCAGCCTGAATTGCAGTGTGCCCCAGCGAGCCAGCGAGGGGCCATGTCGAGGCCAGCCCGCATCGGGACCCTGGCCCTCACGCAGGCCCAGCAGGCCTCGCTCCTCAGGCCAACCCTCCTCTTTCTCCAGTGCCACCAGTGACGGAGCAGCAAGTGCCAGCTCTGCCGGGAGGAGACCAGCCTCGGCGCCACGCGGAGGAGCCCCCGTGCCAGCCCCCCGGGCAGCCTCCCCCGGTAACGTCATGCAGGTGCTCGCTAAGAGAGCCGCCCCTTGGGCAGCAGGGAAGTCTGTCCCCCACTAACTCACACCTCAAGTCTGCAAGCCCCTGGAGTTAGCTCACACATGACCTACAGTGTCACAGTCCAGGGTGGAGACCCTGCCGGCGGTGCCCGGCCGGGGCCTTTGCCGCTTCTGGCAGCTGGGACTGGGTCTCCACGAGCCTGTCACTCCTGCCTGCTCCGCCCAGCAGGCCCAGCCCTGGGAACCAGGTGTCATGGCACCCGGGTCCCTGGCGCTCCCACAGGCTCCTGTGCCCTCACTCCACGCGGCTGCTGGGAAAGCACCACTCATCCTCTCTGTTCCCTAGAGCTAACGGGGTGGTGGGTTGGAGACCTGCGGTGAGGAGCTTTGCTACGGAGGTGGCTTGCTAGGGTGTGGGCAGGTGGGTTCTCGGGTGACGGGAGAGCAGGCGGGCAGGCCTGGGGCCGCGTGCCTGACGGGCGTGTCCCTTCAGGGGAGCAAAGTGGAGCCAGCGGCCACGAGGCCACGGCGGACCCGGAGGAGCCAGCTGCCCTGCAGGCCCCCTCTGGTAAGTGTGCCCAGGCTGCCGACGATGCCTGGGGCCCAGCCACCCTCCCCAGGGCCCAGCCCTGCTGCCCGGGGCCCAGCTCTCCTCCCCAGGGCCCAGCTGGGGTTGCTGCTTGGAGAGAGCCTTCCCGTACCGCACACCTCCTGGAATCACAGCTCCTCCAGTTTACTCAGTTTTTCCAGCTTTATCCAGCTAGAAAGCTTTGAACTGTGATTTTCCTCTGCGTTTGGGAAGCCCAGCACAGCCAGGTTAGCCGCCCTGGCACGGGGGAGGCTCCCCTGCCTGGTAAACTGAGGCGGCAGGAGGCGCTAGGTCAGCTTCCTTCCACGCGAGGACCAGGCTCAGTGAGTGCGGATGAGTACAAATAGAGACCGCTTTGCAGTCCGGGTCATTTCCCAAGCATGCTTGCCCCCTCTGCCCTACAGGAAGCTGGCACAGGGACAGTCCCGCCTCTCCCGCGGAGCCTGGGGCAGCCGCCATGGTGGGAACAAGCCCCCTCAGATGGCAAGGGAGCCCACCCCGTCGCAGGCTCTGACAAGCTCAGCTGTGTAACGCTGCCCGCCCCCCATGCCAGCAGCCACGCTGGTGGCCATGGCAGTGGGACCCTCAGGGTCACCAGCAGGGGGCTCCCTGGCGCTGGCCAGTCTTCCTTGGAGTAGCTGAGTTGGGAAGCGCCCAGGCTAACGTGCTTTGGTTCGCAAAGTCAGCCTAGGTTTGCGTGCCGCAGGGAAGGGCTCCTGGCCGTGGCCCTTGCAGCCCACTGGGCGCCCGGCTGACCTGTCCCCTCTGCCTCACTGCAGCACAGCCCCCTGCTCCGGGGCTGCAGCCCATGGGTGACATCGACTCGGACGACTCGGACGACGTGGTCATCGCTCCACTCGTGCCCACGAAGAGAGGCCCCTCCCACCCTCGGTTCCTGTCCCCGCCCCCCCATGGCGATGGCTGCCAGGGTTAGGTTAGGGCCACCGGAGCGAGGTGCACTCCAGAGGGGGAGACCCCTGAGCTGTCGGGAACAGAACTGCACCTGCTTACCGCCTCGGCGTCCTTAAGGGTTTCTCTCACTTGCTTTGCCTTTCTGCTTAAGGAATCCTAAGTGCCTCTGCTTTATTCTCTGGGGAAGGCCAAGCGGCCCCATCACCTCCTCATCTCCAGCTGACCTGGTGGAGGCTGGGGGACAGCCAAGGAGCCCTGTGGAGGACATGTTGGAGTGGTGCATAGCCTGCCTTTCACGGGACCGGGCATGGCTGCCCAGCGGGAGCCCCCACACAGACATAGGTCAGGAGAAGGTGGCAGGGGTTAGTCGTCGCCAGGTGCAGTGTGTCCGGAGGCATGTGGGGGAAGGCCCACTGCGGTCCTCCCTTCTTGGGCACTGCCCCCTGGGAAGCAGTCTGTGTAGTTTGGGGAGTGGGCCCACCAGCATTTAAAACGGGAGAAATCCCTGTAGCCCCTTGATACAAGCTGGCAGCTGGGGCTCCCTCTGGGCATCGCCCCTCGGGTGGGGAGACTTGAGTGTGAGCTGGTGCAGAGGCCTAGCCTCAGGCAGGCTCCCCTCGGTCCCTGTGGGGCTTCTCCCGGCTTAGGCGTGGGGTCTCCCAAGGCTGCCCGCAGCGACAGCTTGTGTTCTCCCGGGCTGTCTGACCGCCTCCTCTGCCTTGGCCTGTTCACGGGAGCCTGCAGGTTTAATTTTTCTCTTTGGCCTAGGGGTTGCCTGCAAGTCGATGTTCTTTTCAATTAGCTGAGCAGTACAGCAGGCACAACCATGGCCCAGGGAGCCTTCTGTGTACCCTGCCTCCATTCGCCTGCCTGGGTCAGAGCTACAAACCCCAGCAGGAGGGCAGCAGCTGGCCCCCACACACGCAGGGCCCCAGGTTAGCTGTGCCTTTGGGAATTGGTGTCCTGGGTCCCAGGGGTCCCAGGAAACTTGGGCTGAAGGGACAGCCTTGCCTCAGGTTGGGGAAAGGGGCCTGGCCCACAGGGCCAAGGTCAGCAGTGGTCTGCGGCCACACCGTCCGAGAGCTGTGAAGTAAAGGTCCCTGCCTGTCCTTGCTGTGACGTTCTTGAGGCTCCACCACGAGTGGCCCTCACGCCTGCGTCTGCCCACCTGTGCACCCCGTCCCTCCTGCCCGCTGTGAGTGGGTGCCGCTGCCGTGTACCTCTGCGGAGGAAGCACAGGCAGAGAAGGGGTCAGGCAGGTGCCCCCGGGCTGCGGGCCAGGAGTCCAGCGATTTGGCACAGGCACCCACGTGGCCAGCCTCCGGAGGATGGCGCTGCCTGGGCCCCACGGAAGGTACGCCCTGCATACTGGGGGCAGGGCTGAGCCTGGGCACAGGTCCAGGAAGTGTCGTCCAGCCGGGGACTGTCCTGGTCACGCGCTGTGCCCTGATTTCCACTGTGTGCCCGCAGCACTTTGAACTGCAGGAACTTCCTGCTGCTAGACCAGCTTCAAAAGAACACAGCCTCTCCGCTCGCCAGACTCTCCCATGAGCACAGACAGAAGGGGGAAAACCTAGTGACCGCTCGGCTGGTCCCTGCAGCCCCCACACTGCAGCCTCTCCACTCCCCAGACTCTCCCCATGAGCACGGACAGAAGGGGGAGAACCCAGTGACTGCTCGGCTGGTCCCTGCAGCCCCCTACCCACACTGCAGAAGTTGTCCCGATGCACAGGCTGCCCCGGGTGGCACCTGCAGCGGCTCAGGAGCCTGGCACAGGCTCAGCTCTGGTGGAGCCTTGAGGAATCCTGCTCCGAGGACACCCAGGTCTCAGGCGGAGTCTATGTAAACGGGCCTATGTGACAGGTGCCCCCACTCAGGCCGACCTGAGGCACTCCCATCCTTGGTCCTGTCCCCCCGTCCAAGATGTGGGAGGGCACATGGGCCTCTGGGTGAGTGCCCCAGGTCCTGGCCACGGCACTTTAGAGGGAGCCCAGGGTCCTGGTTCCCCTTGGCACCACAGTGGGGCTCTGGATGCAGGGGAGGGGGGAGTGGCAGTGTTGGCAGGCCCATGGGGGCCAGGCCAGCACCTCCCCACAGCGGTGCCTTCAGATGCCGCGTGCCTGGGGAAGTAGGCAGGTTTCCATGGTGCCCACATTTCTCAGTGAGGGCAGGGGTGCCCCAGGCTACTGGGCAATTAAGCCCCAGAACAGGCCAGGATTCAGAGGGCTGTGGGTGCCAAGCTCCCTGCGGCTGCTAGTCACACAGCCGTGCCCGCTTCCTCCCAACCCTGCCCAGGTCCAGCTTTGCAAGAGCTAAGGGCCTCAGGGGTGGGTGGGAGCACAGCAGGTCGGGGGTGACCCAGCTCACCCAGTCCCTCCCCACCAGCACCCACATCTCTGACAGATCTCTCTCAGCTGGGTCCCAGCTTTGATCTGCTGTGCCCTCATCCTGCTCCTGGCCAGGGCCTAGTACTTCAGTGCCCGCCAGAGGGCTAGAGCCACCCCATGTTCCTGCGGCTCAGCAGCCCAGGACAAACCCAAGCCCAGGCTGTACTGCACTGCCATGCACACGCAGGCGCATCCACACACAAAATGCCAGGTGCACACGTGGTGTGAGCGCTCAGCTGACAGCGACTGGTGCCCACCAGGGACAGGGAGGCAAAGGGGACCCATGCCTGCCCTCTTCTCAGGCTTGCCCTGGAGGAAGCTACATCTGCGTCTTGCCAACTCCTTCATCATTCATCCGCTAATCTGGGCACACTTCATCCATATTTCAAACCACACCTAAAATAAAGCGGCAGCCTGGGAACCGTGGCCATCCGGGCACCCCCAGTGCTCACAGGGCCGCTTCAAACCACAAAGCACATGTGCCTCATCGGGGGCCTCCTGCCCCCTGCCCTCCTCCCGACGCTGGCAATGGCGATGGCACAGCCATGGGCAGTGGTAACTCCACTGCCCAGGGCAGAGCCTGGCTGGGACACCACCTCAACCAGGAACGGACACTGCCCCACTCATTTCACAGTCCAAGAGTGGAGGCCACCCAGTGCTCCGTGCTCCTTGAATCCCCAACACTGACCTCCGGGGTCCAGCTGGTGTTGCCCTCCCGGCCAAGCTCAAGACCTTATCACATCCACGCTGACCTCACAACGAGCTTGTGACAACCCCAGTGGGCATTCAGTCCTCAGGGCCACACTGACCTCACGGCCGAGCCACGCTGACCTCATGGCTGACCTTGGGGCCAGGCCCACGCTGACCCCGGGGCCAGGCCACACTGACCTCACAGCCAATCCACGCTGACCTCACAGCCAATCCACGCTGACCCCGGGGCCAGGCCCACGCTGGCCTCATGGCTGAGCCACAGTGACCTCATGTCTGACCCACGCTGACCTCACGGCCAATCCACGCTGACCCTGGGGCCAGGCCCACGCTGACCTTACGGCTGAGCCCAGCCCTCGTGTTGTCCAGTGTCAGGAAGGCAGCAGGGAAGCCACGCGGGCACCCGACTCCTGACGCCCCGCGTGTCCCTTCCTGGGCGGGGCATGCTGCCGGGGTTTGGTGTCTTTCCCCCCCAGCACGTCCAGCTGCTCCAGCTCCCCAGCCCGGGACATGCGATCCTAAGTGACAAGGATGATTTAAAGGGAAGGGAGAGCGTGGGTGCGGCAGACACGGAGTCAGGGTGCTGTGAGGGGTGTGAAAGCCGGAAGCTCCTTAAAACCTTAGTTGATTCCCTTACCTGTTCCTGAGGCTCAGGGGGTGCTCCCAGTCACAGCCCAGCACCCAGGACCGCTTCTCCATCCCCTCCCAGCTGCCACACCTGGCTGTCGCCCCTTGCTCCATCCTTGGCCCCGTCTAGTCACAGGCAGCCTGGCACAGCCTGTCCTTATTCCCACGGTGCCAATGCAGACGGGCCTCGGCACAGGAGCTGGCCGGGCAGCCTGTCCTCCTGCCCCACTGGTGTGCTTCCGTGTGTCCGCCCTCCCCACCTGACCCTGCGTGCAGGGAGAGTACGAGCCTAGTGGTCAGGGTTTGCTGACCCATCCACAGCCAGGCTGAACCCCATCTTTGGGCCCAGGGGAAATTTTGGTTCTTCACCCAGTAGTCACCAGTCCTGGGGCTGAGCGTCCCCAGGCCAGGAAGAGCACAGAGGACAATGAGGGGGGCGGGGAGGTAGGCGGGAAGACGGGAACCGTTGGGAAGGCGTGGGGCCCCCATCCCTGGTTCCTGCGAAGGCCCCCGAGGCCACAGGACACAGGGTGGGCCTGCAGTTTGGAGAACGGGGCCGCCGAAGGACACGGGGCAGTGGGAGGTGCCTGGGTCCTGCCAGGGGCCTGGGAACCAAGCAGAGCTGTTGGCAGCAGCTAGCCCGATTTGCATTTTAGAAGGCGGAGCAGGGAGCTCAGTGAACAATGGCCCCTGGACTGCTGAGAGACCCCCACCCCAGTGCCCACTGAGTGCCCGCAGAGGACGGAGCTCAGATGCCTCCAGTGATGTCCGAGCGAGGGGCAGGCTGGTCGCTGGCCAAGAGAGGCAGAAGCAGGGTGGGCAGAAGGGAGGGGAGAGGGGATTCCGGCCGGCTTAGAAGCCTCCTTGCCACCACATATTAGGGGCAGTTTCCAGCACAATAGCCACTCTCCTGGGGGCCTGGGCTCAGCAGATGACCTCACTGGGAAGTCTGGGGGCAGAAGATGCAGGCCAGGGTCCCGGACAGCCCATTCTGGCACACCCGCATGTGCCCACCTTTGGACATGAGCTGTGGTGAGGCCCAGGCCCCCAGGCGCGTCTGTGTCAGCCAACAGAGCTCCCTGGGTAAGAATGCATCTCATACAGGGGCCAGTTTGTGTCCCGGCTGCTCCACTTCCCATCCAGCGCCCTGCTTGTGGCCTGGGAAAGCAGTCGAGGACGGCCCAAAGCCTTGGGACCCTGCACCTGCGTGGGAGACCCAGAAGAGCTCCTAGCTTCAATCAGATCAGCCCAGGTTGTTGTGGCCGCTTGGGGAGTAAACCAGCAGGCACACGCTCAATCTTTCTACCTTTCAAGTACATATTTAGAATTAAAAAAAATCAGAAGGGGCAGAGCTCCACAGAGCAGCCTGCCAGGAGGCAGTTCCTGCAGTGCTGATGGGACAACATCTGTGCCCTGGCCAACCGCCAGCCTTGCCCTGGGCATGGTGTCCACTGCATAGGCAGAGTGGCCAACTCACTGGTACCCATGACCCTGAGCACCCAGACCACGTCACACGCCTAGTCCCTTCAGGAAGGCCGGCCACGCCCCAAGCAAAGGCCACAACACAGTGACCTCCGTGCAGCCCAGGGCAGCACCCAGCCCTCAGTGAGTCACGCACTCCACGCCGTGTCTGGAGCCGTACCTGCTCCCGGCCCTGGTTTCCCTGTGTCAAGGAACAAGCCCAGAAAAGAAGCCAACGCTGGACACGAAGCACAAACCGCTACGCGAACATGACCTGTCAAACAGGCCAGGGACACTCGGTGTCCTGCGTGGCTCACTTGGGGAGGGCAAAGCCAGTTGTAAATCCCGGCCTTGTCCCCTCTGTGCAACCAGGCCAGGCTGAGTGGACACGCAGGGAGAGCCTGGGGGGGCCTCCCACGGGGTGGACATGTCTCTCCACTGTGTCCAGCAGGGGTCCCAGAGCCCCGGGCCCAGCTGGAGTGCCAAGGCCCTGAGCAGGGGCTGCATGGATGCTCACAGCAGCTCCCAGGACACCCTTGCGATGGCCTGGCTCCCCACAGCTTTCTGGAAGGGTGAGAGGTGCTCATAGCTGGGGGTCCCTAGCCTGGCTCCGTGGCCCTGTCAGGGACCCCACAGCTGGCAGCTCTCGCACCCTCAACCGTGTAGGGGCAGACTGAAAGCCGCGCCCGTCCAGCTTTCCTGTGGCCAGGCCGCCGCTGTGTGCACGGGCGGCAGGCAGTGGCCGGCTGTGTGGCTACGGGGTTGTGCAGCCACGTCTCCAGGGGCGCCAAGAAACCCTGGCCTCGGGCTTCCGTTCCTCCCTGCCAGACCCACAGAACACGGAGCCTCCTGGGATGGGCTCCAGTGGCAGGGAATTCCACAGCTCTGGCTTCCTCCCCAGCATCTGCGGCCCCTGGCCCGGGCCTGGCCACGTGGAGCTGGCCTTTCTCCCAGCGCCTGCTGGTCAGACATCCCAGCCCCCCGCCCCCGCCCCGCTCCAGATGGGGCAGCAGGCTCTCTCTGGCTTCCTCCCTTAATCTGGCCCTTCTGGAGTGGCTCCCCCAGACACCACCCCGACCCCAGGCGTGGGATCCTGCCCAGAGTCCACCAACGAGGCCCCGGTGAGCTAGTCCAGAGCCTGGGGGACTCTGTGTGCCCACCCTAAACCCCCTGATTGTCCTCCCTGCAGGGACCCCCTTAAGAAGCAAGCATCCCCTACAAGTGCTGGGCAAGGTCCAGAGACGGAGCTGCCCGTGCTGGGAGTTCCAAGCAGCCTGGTGGATCGGCCTCCACCCCACCGTGGGGCTGGCGCCCTCCCAAGGCTGTGGGGCAGGGGCGCCCCTGTCTCCAGGCCCCAGTGTCTCCCCTTCCCCGCATGACTTCATCTAGGCCTGACGGCTTCTGCCAGGACCCCGGTGGAGGCCGGTCACCCGGGCCCCCACACGTCCCCAAGCAGGCGAGGGCTGGCCGACTGATGGCGAAGGCTCCGCAGTCACAGCACTGTCCACTCCACTGTCTCACCATCGGCTGGGCAGCACATAAGGGACGGGTCTACTCAACCAGTCACACCCCGTGGCCACCCGGCGCCAGGGAGAGGAGTGATTCTGTCTCAGGGGGCGACCCTGGAGCACCTCGCACCTCCTCACACCCACGGAGGACGGCAAGCCTGGGCGGGGGCAACCCCACCCTAAGCTCCTGGCTGGTCCCTCAGCTGCCCACAGCTGCCCACAGCTGCCCACAGGCCTCCCATCCCAGGCTGGTCCCAGGAAGAGGCGGCCAGTGTACGGGATGAAAAGCCCCAGGGTGCACTTCGTGCCCTCACCTTCCCAGGAAGCCAGTACGACGCCCCGACGCCCCGCCCCGAGACAGCAAAGTCCAGGCCGCCTGCAGGGCCCAGTCACAACATGCCCGCTGCAGGGCAGCAGCACACGCACCTGGACAGAAGCTCCGGCCTCCCCTGGCTGCGGAGGGCATCCGCCCCTGTGCCTTAGACACGCCGCTCCACGCGGCCCCTGTCACCGCCTCGTGCACAGAGGCTCAGGAGCCTGCCCCGGGTCACAGAGTGCAGGGGACAGAGCCAGGCTCCAAGCCAGGCCGCAGGCACAGCAGCACCTGCAGGCTGCAAACGTGTGACCCACGTGCAGCCGTCGAGCCGCCGAGACGACGCGCCAGCAAGCACAGCTGCCGGTGCAGCCAGGCCGCCAGCCGGTAGACCCCCACACGGGGGAACCGAACCCGGGGCCTCCCTCCCGATCGCCCCGCGGCAGGGCGCGGGGTGGGCGGAGCCTACGGCGGTGGGCCAATAGCAGCGCGGGGCGGGGCTTCGTGGGCCCACTGGCTCGGGGGCGGGGCTGCTGGGCCGCGAAAGGAGCCGGAGGCGGGACCCGAGGCGGAAAGACCCAATAGGAGCGCAGGCACGGGCCGGCGGGCGTGGCCCGCCGTGAGCGGGGCCAACGGCGGCGCGGGGGGCGGAGCCTCGCGCCGGCGGGGGGGGGACGGCGGCGGCGAACAAAGAGGCGGCGGGCGCGGGCGGCCGAGCGGAGCCGAGCGGAGCCGAGCCGGGCCGAGCCGGGCCGAGCCGGGCCGAGCCGGGCCGGGCCGGGCCCAGGAACGTGCGGGCGATGCGGGCGGCCAGGCCGGGCTCGGCGGGGACCTGAGCCCGGCGCCCGGGACAGCGAGGGAGCCCCGCGCGGCGGCCGCGCCCCGCCATGGCCGGGGTCAGCTACGCGGCGCCCTGGTGGGTCAACCTCCTGCACCGGCTGCCCCACTTGGACCTGCGCTGGGAGCCCACCGGAAGCCAGTTCCGGCCCGAGGACAGCGACTACCAGCAGGTGACAGCGGGGGCGCCCCCCGATCGCGGCCCGGACGCCCCAGCCCCCCGCCGGGCCGCCGTCCCCCGCGCCCGGCCCCTCACCTCCTGGGCCCCAGCCCACCCGGCGGACCCTGGCCCAGCCGGCGCCCGCTGCCTGACCCTGCGGACCCCGGCCCACCCGGCGCCCGCTGCCTGACCCTGCGGACCCCGGCCCACCCGGCGCCCGCTGCCAGGCCTGGGCAGGCGCCAGCCCGCTGTGGCCCCGTCTGTGGCTCTGCGTGCACATGGGCCCCCTGTGGCAGTGGGGCGGCTGGGCTGCTGGCTGCCCCTGCCGCGAGGGGCCCAGGCCGTGGACGACAGCTGCCCACATGCAAGGTGGGCCCCTGCTGGGACGCTGGGCCTGGGCGGCGCAGGGCAAGGGGCGCTTTGGCAGCCCTCTCCTCAGGCCCCAGCGCCAGGCCACTGTCATTTCCTTCCTGCCCAGGGATCCCAGTTCCAGAAGCCCCGAGCCGAGGGGGTGCCTGGTCACCCCTGCGTGTGGTCACAGCGGGGCCCGCGGGGGATGGGCACGGCTGGCTGGTCGAGTCAGGAAGCAGACCGAGGGTGTCTGCTGGGGTCTCACCCGGCTTGGGTCTCTGGGCTGACCGCCCTGGAAGGGGCTTGGGAAGGGGAGCGGGCTTGGCCCAGGCAGGCCCAGAGAGCATAGGGGAGGGGGCCAACCCGATCGCTGCCCGGGGGGAGGCGGGACGGCGCCTGTGGTCTCTGACCGCCCCAGGAACGTGGTGCTGGGGTGGCTTTGTCGCTCGTGTCCCTGGGACCCCCGGAGGAAGTTCTCTGACCCAGAGCAGTGGCTGTCCCCTTCCGGGGCGGCTCGCCACAGCTGGCCTTGCTGCCCCGCTCCGCTCGGGCCCCTGGCGGGACCCCCAGCTCAGCAGGGTCCCCGGCCCTGGCTCCTGCGCCCCCGTGGGAGGCTCTGACTCACTCCCCTGCCCCCTCCGTGCTGAGCAGAATTAGCCACTGAGTAATTCACAGCGTGGAAACCGGCCGCCCCCGTGCCGGTGCGGGCTGCGTGGGCACCACACCTGGCGGGCGCCAACCCCCTTCCCTGCCCCACGCCCCTCCGTCACCTCCACCGGTGCCTCTGGCCAGGGGCGGGCGGGCCATGGCTGGCAAGGGTTTGGGCATGAGCCCCCAGCCCATCCTGTGACCTCACAGCCGAGCCAGCAGCTGGGGGTGCCTGCCGTGGTGGAAATCCTGGTTTTCCAGTTGGGCAGGCCTGTGCCGGCCGCTGTGAGGGGTCCCCGGGTTGGGGTATCCCTGTTACCTCGCGACCTTGGGTGGCCACGTGGGTCTCTGGGCTCAGTTCCTGTCTGCCCTTGTGACCCAGCGTGACCCCTGGCAGGACTGCGTTTGTGTCGGCTGGGGTTGGGGGAGAGTTCAGAACAGGAGCTGTGGGAATCCGGCGGCCAGGGAAGGCTTCCTGGAAGAGGGGTCATGGAGGCTGCGCCAGAGTCTGCCCACACACCCTGGGCAGGCCTTACTAGCTCCTTCCTGAGGCCCGGGCATGCATGGCAGACCTGCCCCCTGGGCTGGGAGGGGCTAGTGGACCGGCCCCTGGAACTGCCTAACGTGTGTCTGTTCCCGTGCGTCTTGGTGGGGACGCTGATGTGACAAGGTGGCCGTCGTGTGCCGTGGCCCCAGGGAGAGGGTCAGTGCAGGCAGTGGGACAGGGCCCAAGAGCCCTGAGCCCGTGCGCAGGTGCCCCTGGATGGGCCGAGCTCCCGGCAGCGGGGGCCAGGGCTGGGGGCTGTTGCAGGCGGCAGCAGGCAGCCCTGCTGTCCCCTCCCTTTCCTCGTGGCTCACGGAGGCAGCAGGGAGGGGCGTGAGTGGGAGGACCAGGAGAGCGGGCGTCCACGGCCCTGGATGCTCCTCCAGCTGCTCGGCGTTGCTGGTAGAAGGTTCTGGAGCAAGCCCTGCATGGAGAAGGTTCTAGGAGCTGACTGGTGGGGAGGGGAAGCCTGGGCAGGCTCCAGCCCCCCTTGCTGATGTGTGTGTGTGAGTCCCAGGGACGGTCCCCTCGGCAAAGCCTGGGGGGTGGAGCCTGTGGCGGGGACTCCCGCAGTCCTGAGGTGGCCGGCCTGCTGTCTTGCTGAAGTTGTGGCTGTCTTGTTGTCAGGGTGCCTGGTCCCCACTTCCTCTTGGCCCCAGCAGTGTCCCAGGCCGGCTCTCGGTCAGGTTGCAGAGCAGTCATTGGTCCACAGGCTGTGCCGGCTTTCTCTAGCCGTTTTCTGAGGGGAGAGACCCAGACACGTGATTCCAGAGAATCGGGTACTGTGGGCGCTGTACACGCGGAGCCCGGGTTCCTGGGTGTTGCTGCCCAGTGTCAAGGCCCAGCACTGCTCCCGGGTCTGGGCCTGCCCGTTCCCCACAGCCACCTCTGCAGCGGCCAGTCTGCGGATGGGGCAGTGGGCAGCGGCAGTGTGAGGAGGCCTGGGGCCTGCCGGATCCTCTGCAGCCCCACACGGGGCCAGGTGCTTGTGCCCTAGCAAGGGGGACCAGCTACTGCAGCGCAGCGGGCACCTGGGCACTTCCCCAGAGGCCGTCTCAGAGCTGAGGTCCTGAGAAGGACCCTGTCCCTCGGGGTGCCCACACACACCCTTCCTGCTGTGGACAGGGCTGTGAGGGCCATGGGGGGCTTGGCTAAGACCAGTCCCCCAGCCCGGTGCGAGGGACGAGAAGGAAGGGCTGCTTCTGTCCTTGCCAGGAGCAGAGGAAGGTGGGCTGTGTGGGCTGGACCCTCATGAGAGAGTGAGGGTCCGGGAACTGTGCACCCCACACCCACAGCCGCCCCAGCCCTTCCCTCCAAGGAGGCTGGCGGGAGGGGCACACGCAGTATGGGGTGCCACCCTCTGGCCAGGTGGCCCCTTCCGTTCCTTCCCGTTCTGCCCATTGCGCCCTGGTCTAGGTCCCTGGCCATCACAAAGATGCTCCAGTCTGAGTTTGGGCCAAGCCTTGGGGCTGGACTCCGGCCCAGCGTGGCGGGCAGCCAGGCCCACGTGGTGGTTCCTGGTGGGGTTAGGGGTCCGTGGAGTGGTGTGTGCGGTGGAACAGGCACCAAGATGAGCCGTGCTGCAGGGCCGTCTCTGCCGGCACATTCTGCGGGGTCTGTCCCCTCGAGAAGGCCGGGCTACAGGGGGCAGGTACTGCTGGCAAGCGCTCTCTGGAGCCCTCGGGTTGAGTCCAAGGCGTTCCTGGAGGACGAGGACCAGCAGGGTGTGTGTGTGGCAGGTCATCCGGGGTAGCAGGTGGGATGGGACCTGCGCCTTGCCCCAGTGTGGTGGGCAGGGAGGGTGGCAATCAAACTGGAACAGAAACTCAAGCCCCCTGCCCAGGCTGTGCGCACGGCCAAGCTCACCCTCGCGAGAGCAGAGCCCGAAAGATCTGTTTCTCATTTCCAGTCACGTCGCCAGCGACGAGCTGAGTGTGCTGGGGTGGGGGCTGTGGCCACGTGGCCAGCTTGCCACCCTCCCACCCCTCAGCCTGCCTCAGCCACAGGCGGGCTGCTGCCCCCTGCTCCCGCTCGGGGGGTATGACCCCTCCCTTCCCAGTGGCGACCCCAGGCCCCCTCTGCGGCAGGCCAGCCCGCCCCCAGGCGCCCCAGCCCTGCAGGCACACACAGCGCCCTCTTGCCCGCGTGCTGGGCCTCACTGCCTCTGGGGCTGGTTCCCGTATGCCCCACAGCCCCCACACTGGGTATTGCCAGGGAGGGTTATGGAGAAGGGGGAGCTTCAGCTTGGCAAAGGCTTAGGCTCAGGGCAGGAGGGGTCGTCCTGTGTGGGCCAGCCTGTGGGCTTAGGGTGCAGGGGCGGGTGGAGAAGCGGGAGCCCTGGGCTCGGCATGGATGGGCCGCCTGTGGACCCGGGCTCCTGTGCCACGTGCTGAGTCCTGGCCGCCGGCGTCTGACACGCTGAGCCTGTCTCCTGCCCGAGCCCTGCCTCACTTCCCCCATGGCTGGAAAATTCCATTTGATCTGAGCTGGTGCTCATGAGCGTTTGCCATTCTCTCTCTGGATGGACCCTGGGGCCGCTGGCCAGGCTCTGGGCGCCCAGCCCCATGGTCGGGCAGAGGCCCCACCACCTCAGCACCCTGACTGTTGAGGCTGGTTCCAGCCAGAGCTGGAGGGAGGAGGGTAGTGGCTGCTGGACGCCTGACACCAGCCTCCCCTACAGGCGGGGAGCTGGAAGTGCCAGGCCCCTGTCCTTGGGACCCTGGCCTTGTGCTTCCTGCTGAGGTGAGGGCTCTGCTCTCCTGGCCTGATGTGACTAGGTGTGCCAGCCGCCTCTCCTGCCCAGCTGGTCGAGGCTCACAGAGTGGGGGGTGTCCAGTCCCAGTAGCTGCTGTCCCCTGCATAGGCCCCACGGTGCCAGCCTGGCCTACGCCCATGCTGACTTCACATTCGGGTCCTGGCCAGGTGGAAGGGGGGGCAGGAGCACCTCCCTTTGCCTGCCTGGCAACCGTCTCCAAAGAGATTGCATGCTGGTCTCTGGGGCCGCCACCGCAGCAGCCCCAGTGCCGCCAGGGCTGGGCCTCCGGGAGGGCCAGGAGCGCCAGGGTCCTTAGGTGTGGAAAGGAGGTGTGCTCAGTGGTCCACCCATCCAGATACACCCCGCAGGCCGTGCCTCATGCCCTGGCTGGGCCTTCCTCCAAGTGGTCCTCAGCCCCGCGCTGCCCTGTGCTGACAGTGGGGCTGTCCAGGGACGGCCGCCCCACACCTTGTGGCTCCCTCACATACCCAGGGGAGCAGGCCGTGGGGGACGAGCTCCAAGTGGGAGTCTGCCAGGTCCCTTGTTGCCGGTGGGTGTGGACGCTGCTGGTCCCATTGCCTGGGCAGGGTTCACAGCTCGGGCACCCTTCCGTTTCCCGCCCACCCACAGGCTCTGCTGCTGCTGGGGGCCACGGCGCTGGTCTGCCTCGCCCTGGACCTCCTCTTCCTGCTCTTCTACTCCTTCTGGCTCTGCTGCCGGCGGCGCAAGAGTGAAGAGCACCTGGACGCAGACTGCTGCTGCACTGCCTGGTGCGTCATCATTGCCACGCTGGTGTGCAGGTAAGCATGGAGGGCGGGGCGGGGTGTGGCCAGCGGAGGGCGGGGCCTGGGAGGGTGTGGCCAGCAGTGGCAGGGCATGTGAGGGTGTGGCTGGCGATGGGCGGGGCATGTGAGAGTGTGGGCGGGGCCTGGGAGGGTGTGGCCGGTGGTGGGCGGGGCCTGGGGAAAGTGCTCAGAGGGTGGGGTGTGTCCTGGGCTGTGACCAGCGGGTGGGCGGGGCAGGAGGGTGTGGCCAGCGGTGGGCAGGGCCTGGGAGAAAGTGCTCAGAGGGTGGGGTGTGTCCCGGGCTGTGACCAGAGGGTGGGCGGGGCATGTGAGGGTGTGGCCAGTGGGTGGGCGGGGCATGTGAGGGTGTGGGCGGAGTCTGGGAGGGTGTGGCCAGCGGTGGGTGGGGCTGGGGAGAGTGGTCAGCATGGAGGGCAGGGCCTGGGAGAAAGTGCTCAGCTGGTGGGGTGTGGCCTGGGCTGTGACCAGCGGGTGGGTGGGGCATGTGAGGGTGTGGCCAGCGGGTGGGCGGGGTCTGGGTGGGTGTGGCCAGCAGTGGGCAGGGCTGAGGGACGGGCCACGCCCTCACCAGCCTCCTGCCTTTCTCAGTGCCGGCATTGCCGTGGGCTTCTATGGCAATGGGGAGACCAGTGACGGCGTCCATAGGGCCACCTACTCGCTCCGCCACGCCAACCGCACGGTGGCCGGGGTGCAGGACCACGTGAGTGGCTGGGAGGGTGGCGGCTGTGGCTGTGCTGTGGGGAAGGGGGTGAGGCCCTTTCTGGGGAGGGTGCACAGAGCAAAGCCCCCAGACTCCCTCTGAGCATACCCTGGCCAGCAGGTGTGGGACACGGCCATTGCACTCAACCGTACGGCGGAGCCCAGCCTGCAGAGCCTGGAGCGGCAGCTGAGCGGCCGGCCGGAGCCCCTGCGGGCAGTGCAGCGGCTGCAGGGCCTGCTGGAGACGCTGTTGCACTACACGGCCGCCATCCCCTTCTGGAGGAACTCGGCCGTGTCGCTGGAGCTGCTGGCCGAGCAGGTGGACCTCTATGACTGGTACAGGTACGCGGTACCCCCAGCCCCGACTATAGGCGTACCCTGACCCCAGGGTGCCCCGGGCACCAGGAAACTGCAGTCCTGGTGGCCCATCTGCCATTGCCCATTGCGTTGCAGGTGGCTGGGCTACCTGGGCCTGCTGCTGCTGGACGTCATTGTGTGTCTCCTGGTGCTGGTCGGCCTCATCCGCAGCTCCAAGGGCATCCTGGTGGGGTGCGTCGGGGGCTCCCTGGGCCCGGGGCCAGCAGCCTCTCTGCCCAGCCTCCCTCCCTGAGTGGCCCTTCTGCAGCCCCTTCACGTTGACCTTCACAGCAGCCTGAGTTGCAGACCTCAGGGAAAGGGGGCGGTAATTCCAGGCCGGTGCCCTGGACGGGCAAGCTCATGGCGCGTGGCCTCCCGCCCCGGCCAGTGGCTGTGAGGCATCGTCCTGGCCCCCTCACCAGAGCCAGAGTGGAGGGAGTGCCGGCCCAGGGCTGTCCTGGGGACTGGAGAGTGGATACCCTCACCAAGGCCTAGGGGCCCGGGGGAGGTGCGGTCCTGGCCAGGGTCAACTGTCCCCAGGCCACCGTGTGGCCCGCAGTGGCAGTGGAAATGCATGTGCTGTCTGCTGAGAGCCCTGCCCCAGCCATCGGAGGGTCCGACTGGGCCCTGGGCAGCTCTGGCAGAGGCCGGTGCCTGGCCCGGCTGTCAGCCAGTGTGGCCTTGTTAGGTCTTAGCCCCAGCCTCCCAGCCTGGGGCTGCTGACTCAGCTTTCCACCCCAGGGTCTGCCTGCTGGGGGTCCTGGCTCTGGTCATCAGCTGGGGTGCGCTGGGCCTGGAGCTGGCTGTGTCCGTGGTGAGTACACGAGCCCCAAGTCACACTGCCCTCCCGTCCCAGAGGCGGAACCTGGCTTCCGAGGCTAGCTTGGTCCCCCCCCGCTTCCTTGCCCGCCCCTCCCCAGGGCTCCAGTGACTTCTGCGTGGACCCCGACACCTACGTGACCAAGATGGTAGAGGAGCACTCGGTGCTGAGCAGTGGTGAGTCTACGACCATGGCCCCCCAGGGCCGGACACTGGGGAGAGCTGAGGGGGTGGGGGCAGGGAGGGGACCTGGGACCCCGCGAGGCCGAGGGGAGGTGGCCAGCAGTCCTCTCCAGGAGACCCGGTGAAGGCTGCAGACGGCTTGGCAGGGGCTAACCTGCCTCCCACAAGGGTGCTGTTGTACCCTCAGCTGCCCACGCTGCTCAAGGCCAAGGCCAAGGCACCTGCCCTGAGGGCCAACCCACTGCAAGGAACACACCTGAGCACACACAGGCTTCCCAGCAGACCTGTGTGCTTATGTGGGTACAAGGACATATACAGACACACATACCCCCTGTACACACAGAGGAGCTGTGCATAGCCACACCCGCAGGCGCACCCCTGCACCCACAGAGGAGCTGTGCATAGCCACACCCGCAGGCGCACCCCTGTACCCACAGAGGAGCTGTGCATAGCCACACACACCCGCAGATGCACCCCTGCACCCACAGAGGAGCTGTGCATAGCCACACACACCCGCAGATGCACCCCTGCACCCACAGAGGAGCTGTGCATAGCCACACCCGCAGGCGCACCCCTGCACAGAGGAGCTGTGCATAGCCACACCCGCAGGCGCACCCCTGTACCCACAGAGGAGCTGTGCATAGCCACACACACCCGCAGGCGCACCCCTGCACCCACAGAGGAGCTGTGCATAGCCACACACACCCGCAGATGCACCCCTGCACCCACAGAGGAGCTGTGCCTATCCACACACACCCGCAGGCGCACCCCTGCACCCACAGAGGAGCTGTGCATAGCCACACACACCCGCAGATGCACCCCTGTACCCACAGAGGAGCTGTGCATAGCCACACACACCCGCAGATGCACCCCTGCACCCACAGAGGAGCTGTGCATAGCCACACACACCCGCAGATGCACCCCTGCACCCACAGAGGAGCTGTGCATAGCCACACCCGCAGGCGCACCCCTGCACAGAGGAGCTGTGCATAGCCACACACACCCGCAGATGCACCCCTGCACCCACAGAGGAGCTGTGCATAGCCACACCCGCAGGCGCACCCCTGCACAGAGGAGCTGTGCATAGCCACACACACCCGCAGGCGCACCCCTGCACCCACAGAGGAGCGGTGCATAGCCACACACACCCGCAGATGCACCCCTGCACCCACAGAGGAGCTGTGCATAGCCACACACACCCGCAGATGCACCCCTGCACCCACAGAGGAGCTGTGCATAGCCACACACACCCGCAGATGCACCCCTGTACCCACAGAGGAGCTGTGCATAGCCACACCCGCAGGCGCACCCCTGCACAGAGGAGCTGTGCATAGCCACACACACCCGCAGGCGCACCCCTGCACCCACAGAGGAGCGGTGCCTATCCACACACCCACAGATGCACCCCTGTATCCAAAGAGGAGCTGTGCATAGCCACACACACCCGCAGATGCACCCCTGTACCCACAGAGGAGCTGTGCATAGCCACACACACCCGCAGATGCACCCCTGCACCCACAGAGGAGCTGTGCATAGCCACACCCGCAGGCGCACCCCTGCACCCACAGAGGAGCTGTGCATAGCCACACACACCCGCAGATGCACCCCTGTACCCACAGAGGAGCTGTGCATAGCCACACCCGCAGGCGCACCCCTGCACAGAGGAGCTGTGCATAGCCACACACACCCGCAGGCGCACCCCTGCACCCACAGAGGAGCGGTGCCTATCCACACACCCACAGATGCACCCCTGTATCCAAAGAGGAGCTGTGCCTATCCACACACACCCGCAGATGCACCCCTGTATCCAAAGAGGAGCTGTGCCTATCCATGCACCCGCAGGCGCACCCCTGCATCCACACACGATGTCGGGGTGCATGATTATGGACACAGACTTGGGTGAGCGCACAGTCAGCTCAGCTCCCTTCCACAGGCATTCTGCAGTACTACCTGGTCTGCTCACCCCGTGCCACCAACCCCTTCCAGCAGGTGAGAGCCCGGGCAGGCCCTGTGAGGATGTGGGCCCCGTGCCTGCCCCCAGCCCGTGGGGATGTCAGGCCCCGTGCCTGCCCCCAGCCCGTGGGGATGACCTGCCCTGTGCCCGCCCCCAGCCCGTGGGGACCCTGAGTAGTGGAGGCATGTAAAGTGGAGGCATGTCGAGGGTCGACGTGCTGCCTGGTCACTTGGTGTTGCTGTCGGGCGGCAGGGGTCTTGAAGACTCCCACCTGCCCTCCAGAGTGGGCACATGACCCCTGTCAGTACCCAGGTCTGTGCCTTCTCTGGGCGGGGGCACAGGGTGCCCCTGGGGTCGGCCACCTGGTGGGCTTGGCTCTGCTGGCAGCCACTGTCTTCCTGGAGCAGAAGCTGTCGGGCAGCCACAAGACCCTGGTGGAGATGCAGGACCTGGTGGCCGAGCTGCTGAGGAGCGCCACGCGGGAGCACCCGGCCACCAAGGTAAGGCGCATTCCCGCTGCCGCGTGGGGGGACGGGCTGGGGAGCCTGTTCTCTCGTGGAAGCCGTCTCGCCACCTCATTCCTGCTTCCAGGACCTGCAGTAGGTTTCCCGGGAGCCAGGTCTCTGTAAGAGGGTCATACACTTGGTGTCAGGGGGCAAATGAGGGGGCCGGAAGTGGCCCCCGCACTGTACGGTCATAATGCCCGGGGCCACTCCAACACTTATGTTATCCACCCCGGGGGACCCCGGTCCGTCCCACAGGGCCCAGCGCTGGGGACGCAGGAGACCCCCAGAACATCAGAGCTGAGCCCCTGTCCCCACACACATTCACGCACAGAAGTGGAGGTGGCTGCCACACTGTCTTCAGAGCCAGGGCTCACACTTGATGGCTGGCACGGTCCCTTCCTCCAGTCATGCCCCATCACCCCGCCACACGTGGACACCATTACTGCCCGCCACGTCCCTCGGACCTCCCCGAGGTCACTCCTCCGACTTCTGTGCACTCAGGGTCAGGACAGGGGCTCAGCAGAAAAGCCTGGGGGACACAGCCGCCCACGTGGAGGAGCAGAGGCCTCTGTGTGTACCTGTGACCATGCACGCAGGCACACCAGGTGTATGGAACACATGCAGGCACACAGGCCATTGGGTGCCAGGGGCTCCCATGCACACACGGGCACAGTGGGCGCCGCAGGGCCAGGGGCTCCCATGCACACATGGGCACAGCGGGTGCCGCAGGGCCAGGGGCTCCCATGCACACACGGGCACAGCAGGTGCCACAGGGCCAGGGGCTCCAATGCACACATGGGCAAGCGGGTGCCACAGGGCCAGGGGCTCCCGTGCACACACGGGCACAGCGGGCGCCGCAGGGCCAGGCAGCAGCTCCATGTACTGTTTCTCACCGCAGTGTTGGGAGATGGGTCCCTAAAGTGAGTTTTTAAAGCAGAAGCAGGCACAAGCCCAAGGACGGGAGAAGCCATGTGTGCCCTGGAGCGGGTCTGGGACGGGGTAGCATGTCTGCACACGTCTGCTATGGCCCTGGGGAGGCCAGAGCTTGCCCCAAGAGCTGCCCAAGACCTTGGGTGTAAGGGCAGTGGCCCTGGCAGGGTGCAGAGTGTGTGGTTGGCTCAAGCCCCCCCGCCAGGAATGGCACTGACCGTGCACGGGGCCTTCCCGCAGGACCCACTGCTCCGAGTCCAGGAAGTGCTGAACGGCACGGAGGTCAACCTGCAGCACCTCACGGCCCTGGTGGACTGCCGCAGCCTGCACCTGGTGAGGCTCGGGGACGCGGGGCGGGGCGGGGGCTGTGGGCGGCCCTGGGGGCTCCTCACACCGCCCGTCTCCCCTCTCCCCGCCTCCGCCCCGTGTGCCGTGCCCAGGACTACGTGCAGGCGCTGACGGGCTTCTGCTACGACGGCGTCGAGGGCCTCATCTACCTGGCCCTCTTCTCCTTCGTCACGGCCCTCATGTTCAGCTCCATTGTCTGCAGCATCCCACACACCTGGCAGCAGAAGAGGTGAGGCGCCACAGCCAGGTCCTGGCGAGGGCACAGCCCGACACTGGACTCCCCACTGCCCGGGGTGTGTCGAGCAAGTCACGTGGCAGCCTGGGCCTCAGTTTCCCTGACTGACCCCAGGGGCAAGTGACCCACTTCCCACGGACCTGCCCTGCCTCGGAAGTGGGGCGGGCTGCTGGCGCAACAGCCTTGCGGACAGGAGAGCTAGGCCCGGGCCGCCCCCACGCTGCCCCCCGGAGCTGAGAGGGTCCTTCCCTGCAGAGGAGTGGATGAGGACGGGGAGGAGGAGGCGGCAGTGCCAGGGCCGCGACAGACGCACGACAGCCTGTACCGCGTGCACATGCCGAGCCTGTACAGCTGCGGGAGCAGTTACGGCAGCGAGACCAGCATCCCGGCCGCGGCCCACACCGTCAGCAACGCCCCGGTCACCGAGTACATGTGAGTCCTAGGGGACGAGGCCAGGTGCCAGGTGCCCACAGGCCGGGCATACCGTGGCAGTCAAGGGCAAGGGGGCCGCATGACGCCTCCATGGCTTGCGTCAGGGGTGGCCTGGACGCGGGAGCCGTATGTGTGGCCCAGAGCCTGACGGGTAGGTACTGTACCAGGCAGAGCCAAGTGGGCATGGGGTCTGCTGGATTCAGGCCCCTTGTGCCTGGGGCCAGGGGTCACTCACAGCCCCATCCCCCACCCAGGAGCCAGAATGCCAACTTCCAGAACCCTCGCTGTGAGAACACTCCCCTCATCGGGCGCGAGTCCCCACCGCCCTCGGTGAGTCCTGGGGCAGGAGGGTGGGCAGTGGGTGCCCCGCGTAGCTCTCCCCAGCAGCCGACGTGGCCTGCCTGGGAGCCCAGCAGGTCAGCCCTGGCTCTGTAGGCAGCGGACGGGCGTGCCTGTGGGACGCACTTTCTAGGTTGCTGTAGGCACTGCCTGTTGGCCCCGCAGCTCCTGGGGCGCTGGCCTCACTGCTCTTTCTGAGCGTGCACGTGGGTCCCAGCCTGGGGGCATCCTCTCGGGCCCCAGCAGGGCACAGGGTGGACTTGGTGCCAGGGAAGGAGTTCGTGGAGAAGGGGGGTGGTCCGGCGTTCTTGCTGGACAGAACACCTGTAAGACTGACGGTCCCTTGCCTGGAGATGCCTTCCCGTGGGTGGTCACCGCTGTCCTGGAGCATGGCTGCAGGAGCCCACGCTCCGCCGGCCTCCCTGGCGGCCAGCGCCGCTGGCGTTGAGGCCGCCTCTCTCTCTCTCCCCTGCACTCCTGGGCCCTCCTAGCGCTATCTGGCTGCCTCGGACTCTGGCAGCCACGCGGGCTGGCGGTTTCAGCCCATGGGCAGTGCCCGAACACTGTGGTAGCCATCCGTGCCCTGAGCGTGACAGGTACTGAGCCCCGGGCCCCGGGCCTCACGCCCACCGCGCTCCACAGCCTCAGCACAGGCGGGTACCCTCTGGGGGCTGCAGCACCTGCTACACGAACGGGGCCCTCTCCCCCGCCAGCCTCTCCACCCAGACCCCCGTGGCAGCAGGGCTGGGGGCAGCGGCCTGGCTGTGTGGGGGCCACATACGCAGGTGTACATGGGTCTGCAGGTCCCACCCCCACCGCATGTGCAGGGAACGCCATGGTCCCCAGGCCACCGCCCCCCTGCTTGCCGCCTTTCTCCCTCTCGGGGGGCTCTGGAAATGTGCTCGGGGACGCTGCGGGCTGGCCAGGCCACACCGGCAGTGCACAGCACGTGTGAGCAGACAGCTTTGCTCACTGCACAAGCATGTGGGGTGACGGTGGTGGCCCAGGCCTGCACGAGGCTCCTTCCCCCAGGCAGGGGGTGCACGCAAATGCCTACAGGTCGGCTTCTCCACCTCAGTGACTTCAGGAGGACCCCGCCTTCGAGGCTGAGGCCCAACCCTCGCCTGGCACAGGCGGCCTCCTGTGTGGCCCTTGGGTTCCCAGAGTGTGGGACCCACCCCTTGGGTGGCAGGGCCATGAGCATAGGGCCTGTGAGGAGGGGACACTGGTGCCCCTGCCAGGGACCGGCTCCCTAGGGGCCGTCCTTGCTGGTGGTCACTCCAGCTTGTGGGAAGATCCTGTCGGCTGAGCTCCGTGTCGGCGCATGCCATCCTGAGGGTGGGGCTCCGGCTCACCCTTCACGCCCCTGACCCTGGCCTTGTCTTCCAGTACACATCCAGCATGAGAGCCAAATACCTCGCCACGAGCCAGCCTCGCCCCGGCTCCAGCGGCAGCGGACACTAGCCCGTGAGCGCCTCCTGCCCCACGTGCCAACAGCCCCACCCCTGCATGGCCACGCTGGACCCTCCGCGAGCTTCGCCATGGCAGCCCTGGGCACATTTGCTGGCCCCGAACCCTCTCCCCGTCCTTGCAGGGGCACAGAGATGAGGACACCCCAAGAGCAGACCGACCGCCACTGCCCCAGCCCTCCTTCCCTCCCACAGGGCTTCGGCGCAGCAACCCTGCCCACTTCTTGGTTTGCAGACACTGTGCCCAGCGCGTGCTGGCCGCAGGGGAGGGGCCGTGCCATCCACTTCATCATATGCGCATCTCTCTGCAGTGCCAGCAGCTGCCATGGCCCCCGGGCACAGGCACCCCTCCTCTGGGGGGCTCCTCTCTCCCCCAGCCCTCCACAGCCAGCAGGTGCCACGCGGAGTCCCAGCTGCACGGCGGCCTCTTGGTGCCGGTCTCCTTCTTGGTGCCAAACTCCCTCGCCCACCCGAGACCCACTGCCAGTCCAGTTTTTGTTTTATTCTGTTCCTTTGCACTAACCACGTTTGTCATCTCCAGGGCAGGTGGGGCTCCCCTCAGCTCCAGGGGCCTGACCTGAGCCAGCTGTGACTGTCCCCGGTCCCTGCTGCCCCCTTGGGACTAACCACTGGCCTCACTCCCAGCCTCCACCCAGAGCGAGCCTGTGGCCAGGCTGGAGCTGAGGCGCCTGGCAGCTGGTGGGAGCAGGCTGGGGCCGCCTCTCCGTGGGGTGTCCTGTGGTCTCAGCCCCCTGCGAAGCAGGGGGCGGTCTTCCCTAAGGTGCTTTCGGTTCTGTGTATGACGTGTGCTATGCTTCCTGCTGCCCCACCCCCAAGTCTGGCCAGGAAGTTCTGCGCGGGGCACCCCACGTGGGCCTCTGGCCCTAGCAGGCCACGGAGGGGAGGCGGCCAGCAGCCAGGCAGTTTACACAGGGGCAGCGCTCCCTGAAGCCCCGCCCCCGCTTCAGAGCCTCTGCCAGGGGTGGGGAGGCCAGCTGGGAGGAGGGGTCCGCGGGAGTACCTGAGCCACAGGCAGCCCCGAACGGGGCCCCACCCCAAGCCCCCCGCCCCCCGTGCCCTCCAGCTGGACACAGACCTGCCTGCGGTCAGGAGCCTGGGCAGAGGGCAGGAGCTGTGTGTGTGCATGTGTGTGCCGGCCTGCCCCGGGGCTGGAGGACTCACAGCACGGGGGTTTGGGAGTCATTACCTCCTTCCTGCCCCATCCCCACCCTCCCCATCCCAGCGGCCTCTCCACACCTCTTGGCTGCCAGGTGAGGGCCACTGTGCAGCAGTGGACTCGAGCGTGGGTGCGGTGGCCTCAACCCTGCGGGAGCCCCTGCAGCATGAGGCACCTGCTCGCTCTCCCCGGGGCCCCCACCCCACCTCACCACTATGCAACTCCGGGTCCAGCCCTCTGGGCTCCAGCCAGGGGGGCCGGTCGGCACGCACGGGACCTCATGTTGAGCCGTGACAGCTGCGACCCGCACCGCGCAGGCATGTCACACAGCAGGCATGCGCAGTCTGAGAGCTTGGCGCCCCCAGGCCCAGCACCTGCCCCTGCCCGCCTGGCCCATGGGGTCTGAGCCTGGAGCCGTGGACAGACTGCCCTGTCCCTGTCCCCCGCCAGCCTTCTCGGGGCCCTGGCCATGATGTACTGTCGCTGTGGGGCTTGTTTTTATTGTTTAAAACCGGGTCCGGGGTTTTGATTTTTTTAATTTCTTTGGGGACCTTATTTTTCTTGACAAATACTAAAAATCTCGTCAGTGTAATTTCTGTGGTTTCTATTCAGCTTGGGTTTCATGTTTTGAAATAAACAAGTTAAAAAAAAAAAACACGCACAGGTCCCTCTTGGCTTGTCTCAGCACCCCACCGTCTGCAGGTACTGAGGCGGGGGAGGGGGCCGAACCAGGGCCTGGAGCCCGGCAGAGGCCAGCGGTCACAGCAGGCAGGGTCCCGGCAGGCTGGAGCCGCGCTGGGCCCGGACGGGGCGGGGGCCCTTGGGCCCGCCCACTGGGACACGGGGCGGCTGCAGGCACACACAGGCTCTCCACTACAGGAGGAGGGCTACGATGTGGACATGGCTGCCCCAGAAAGAACCTGTGACAAGGAAAGCGGGAAGCCCGAGCCCCAGGCAGGTGTGCCCGACTCACAGCAGAGCCAGGCCCTGGGAGAGCAGAAGCTGGGGCATCTGTGCCTCTGGGGCCCCACCCAGCACAACACGGGTGCAGGAAGACCCGACCGCCTGTGATCCCACCCGCCCTGGACAGTCCGCTCGACACTGGCAGGGCCCCAAGCCAGGTGGGAAGGACACAGCCAAGTGGAGGCAGCACCCACTTGTGCTAGAGCAGCACAGCAGATGATGTCCGAGCCAACAGGACCGAAGGTGGGACCTGGGACAAAGTCAAGGTCAAACAGGAAGGGGAGGACAGCAGCGAGGCGAGGGAGGCCCTGGACGGCAGAGGGTTGTCTGTTCACTAACCCAGGAGCAGGAGAGACCAGGAGCCAGGGGCCTTGGCGGCTCAGCAGGCATGGGGCAGCGGCGGCCAGCAGAGGGCGCTGGGCCCTCGGAGGACAGTGTGGGCCCCATCACAGCCCTTTGGGAGCTGGGGGTGCTCAACAGCAGGGCAGCGAGGCCACCTGGGGCTGGACCCGTGGCACTGGGGTCTGGCCAGCAAGCCCCAGGCTGCAGGGGAGGGGCCATGGCCACCAGCCAGTGCCACGAAGTGCCAGGCAGGCCACTTCCTGGGGTTCCTCCCAGACAGGGACCGAAGGCCTCGAGTCCTGCCCTGGCTCAGGCTGGGGCTGCAGCCACCCTGGTCACAGGCCGGACAGTCAGAGGGCTGTGCCACTGGCCCTTCAGACCTTGGGAGGCCTGTTGGTTACCACTGCTCAGGCATTCTGCCCAGGCAATGCCATTCAGACCCGGGGTCCACCCCTGCCCCCTGCATGGTTACAGGGTATTCTGGTGCCTCTTCCATGAAGTCCCCTCCCACCGGGCCCCTTCCATGATCGACTACACCCAGGCACTCTGGAGCAGACAGGGAGCCAGTGTGGGACCCCACCAAACATGGGCAGAGCCTGGGCTGGGCAGAGCCTGGGTCAAGTTCCTCTGTCCCCACCCCTCATGATTCACTGGCTGGCGGAGGCCAGACCGCAGGCTGCCCCACCCCCAGGGCCCCTGCACCCACTTCCCCTTCCGAGGGGGAGCAGCTTCTCCTTGTGAGAGGAAAGACGCAGCCTGGGCTGCGCCAGTGACACCATGCACACGTCGGTCCCCCCTTGGAGAGAGAAGTCGGGGTGTGGGGGAGCCGCCTGTGCTGCCTGCCCCGTCACTGGGCACCTCCACCCGCCCCAGCTGGGGGGCTGCACGCTCCGAGCCCTGCCAGCTGCAGCAGGCAGCACCCTGGGTCCAGGCAGAGGAGCCGGCCATGACTCACCCAGACAGGATGCGGGCCTCCGCCTCTGTGACCCCCTTCACTCACACGCCCCACACATCAGCTTCCTGGGCCAGGGACACGTGGCCACCACCTCCCGCCCCACCTCGCAAGCCCCACACGGTGGGTGCTGATGCTCAATGGCAGCTACTGGCCAGGGCCTGGCCAACCGCTGGGCCGCCAGCCTGTACGCACACGTCCAGCAGGTGGGGCAAGGAGGGGAGCCGGGGGCCCCAAGTGGGCTGACACCAGCCCTTTCGCAGAACAGGAAGCTGCCCAGGGAGGGAATTCCCCAGGGGGGGCCCAGGGTCCCTGTCACCCCGATCACCTCGGGACAGCCACACCCAGGACAGCAAGACCTAAGCAAGGAACTGAATCGGGGGGAAGGGAGAGGGACAATGTCCCCAGCTCCCTGCAGCCGGTGCAGCAAGGAGGCGGTGGTGTCCCCAGCCCCCAGCAGCCAGCACAAAGGGGACAGCAGTGTCCCCAGCCCCCTGCCCACAGCAGCCGGCACAGGGAGGGGATGGCAGTGTCCCCAGCCCCTGCCCACAGCAGCTGGCACAAAGGGGACAGCAGTGTCCCCAGCCCCCTGCCCACAGCAGCTGGCACAGGGAAGGGATGGCAGTGTCCCCAGCCCCCTGCCCATAGCAGCCGGCACAGGGAGGGGATAGCAGTGTCCCCAGCCCCTGCCCACAGCAGCCGGCACAAAGGGGACAGCGGTGTCCCCAGCCCCCTGCCCACAGCAGCTGGCACAGGGAGGGGGCGGCGATGTCCCCAGCCCCCTGCCCATAGCAGTCGGCACAGGGAGGGGATGGCAGTGTCCCCAGCCCCCTGCCCACCTGCAGCCGGCACAGGGAGGGGGCGGCGGTGTCCCCAGCCCCCTGCCCATAGCAGCCGGCGCAGGGAGGGGGCGGTGGTGTCCCCAGCCCCCTGCCCACCTGCAGCCGGCACAGGGAGGGGGCGGCGGTGTCCCCAGCCCCCTGCCCACCTGCAGCCGGCACAGGGAGGGGGCGGTGGTGTCCAGCGAGGCCAACCAACAGAGTGGATTACCTTTATTCACAGCAAATGACGTCGCCATAGCAACAACACTTGGCTTCCCTGAGAATGCCCCCCTTCCTAGCTACGTCTTTGCAGAGAACCAGCACACAGACCTGCCCCTCCCCGGGCAGGGGACCCCAGCTGGGCTGGGAGGAGGGTTGCTGCTGGGGGAGGCCCCAGATGCTGGGACCATAAATAGGGGGAGGACAGCTCAATCAGACTCACGTCCCTGCAGGAGCAACGGGACCCCGAGGTCAGCTTCCGCTTTTTCTGATCCACAGAAGAGACAAAACTGGAACCCCCATCCCTCCCCCAAAACGTCCCCCTTCCTCCCCCACCCTTCCCGAACCCAGAGCAGTCAAAACACTGCCACACTACCAGACACGCCCACTGTGGGCAAAGCTCTCCACCATGGAGAGACCAAGTCAGCTCCGCCTCGCCCGCTCGTGGGGAGGCGAAGAGGGGCTGGGGGCACACAGGCTCGGGGGCCTGGCGTTCTGAGCCTCAGAGCCCAGGAAGGGGTCTCAGCCCCTACCCCTCAAACCAGTTCCCCTGCACCAAGCATGGCTCGGCACTGTGGGGGTTCCTCGGGCCCTCACAACCTGCACAGACTGTGGCCTGACCTCACACGTGCAGGTCTGGATACAGCTGGGGGCGCCTTGAGCTGCTGCCCGAGGGCAAGCAGCCTGGCAGTCTGCACGCACAGACCAGCCCCTAGGCCCTTTGGATACCAGCGGTGCCCAGGGACGGGGTTTCGGCCACAGCGGCTAGAAGACAGCGGTCGGGGGACACCAGGGCGTGTCCGGGTACAGGTGGCAGTGGACCGAGCGGAACCTGTGGGAACAGAGCGAGCGTGGGCAGGTCCTTGAGCGACGGGGCTGCACACTGGAGCCCACCTGCGTACACGGGACCCCCGCAAGGCACGCAGCCCGGCCTCACCTGGATGGGTCGGCCTCCACGGAGAAGGGCCCCTTCAGGTGGATGGCATTCCGCTTGTTCTCAAACATACCGTAGCTCAGCGTCACCTGAGGGGCAGGCAGGGCCTGAATGACGCCAGCTGTCCTCCCCCGCGCGGGCAGCACGCCAGGGGACCCTCCTCCCCCACGCGGCCAGCATGCCAGGGGACCCTCCTCCCCTGCGCGGCCAGCATGCCAGGGGACCCTCCTCGTCCTCCGCGCGGCCAGCATGCCAGGGGACCCTCCTCCCCCGCGCAGCCAGCATGCCAGGGGACCCTCCTCGTCCTCCGCGCGGCCAGCACGCCAGGGGACCCTCCTCCCCCGCGCGGCCAGCACGCCAGGGGACCCTCCTCCCCCACGCGGCCAGCATGCCAGGGGACCCTCCTCCCCTGCGCGGCCAGCATACCTGCTCGTGTAGCTCGGAGGCGGGCACCTGCTGCAGGTTCTCCAGGTGGGAGTGGAAGAGGTGGCTGCGGATGAGGGGCACGCCCAGCAGGGCCTCCACGATGTAGCCGATGGTGCAGTCATCGGGCAGCCGGATTCGCTCCGCCGTGCTCAGGAAGTGGCCACCGCTGCGGAGCGAGGAGGCAGGACCCTGAGGCTGGGCTCAGCAGCAGGGGGCCCGCCCGGGCGTCCAGCAGCCAGGGGACGCGCGTACTCACCTGGCCCACGGGCTCATCTTCAGGGCCAGCCCCCGGCTGATGCAGAAGCCAGCACCTCCAGTGGCAAACCAGAAGTGGACGGGTCGCTGGGGGGGAGGGACGGAGTCATGAGACCAGGCTGTTGGGACTGCAACCCCTCCCCGCCCACGGCAGGCCGCGCCCGTCGGAACGCCGGGCCGCTGGGCACCTGGTCCTCGCCCAGTCGCTCGGTGGCCTGGATGGGTCGGTCCAGGCTCGGCTTGCCGATGTACACGTCCTGCGTGTGTGGGTAGCTGGCCAGCAGCCGCAGCAGGGCCCGCACGTTGACGTAGTTGTCATCATCCACATGGCAGAACCACCTGGGGGCAGGGCAGGGCAGGGCGGTCAACGCGAGCACGGCCAGCAGGGCACAGGGGCTCCCGGGGACGCGGCCCAGAAGCGACAGCGGACACTCACTTCCTCCCGGACTCCACGAAGCGGTCGTACTCCACCGCCATCTTGCAGGACAGAGCCTGGCGGCTGTGTGCCGCCGAGCAGTTGGTGTTGACCACGTTGGCTGTGTGCAGCGGAGGAGGGGCCGTGAGGGGACGGGGGCAGGCTCCCAGAGGGGCCTCCCCCAGCCTGGACCCCCCTCCCCCAGCCAGCCGCCCCTGGGGAGCGGCCCGCCCCTGCCCATTCAGCCAACTTTTTCCCAGCACTGGCCACCTGTTGCCGCCCGCTCTGCTCTAAAGGCCTGGGGACTGAAAGGGCCTCATCTGCATGA